GTCCTGGGCCTACGGCTGTGGCCAGAAGAACAAGCCTGGAATCTACGTCAAGGTCTGCAAATACACCACCTGGATTCACAACACCATGTCCTCCAACTAAATGACTTATGCTATCAAATGACAAGTTGGTAAATGGTTAGTGATTGAATAAAATAAATCCATCATGAAAAAAAAACCCAGTTAATTCTCATCTTTGCAGAAAGCTGACATTTACCAAAAAGTGTAAAATCAAAAACACGTAACCAGTGATTTTACATTGAATTTTATTCATTCATCGACTCATGAAACATCTCGTTTGATGATGGATATCAAAACAAGAAATCAAACTAGTGATATATAAAAATGAAAAATCAAATCTAAAATAAAAATGATGTATTGGTTCACAATAAATGTCCATGGGTAAAACAACAGAGTTAAAGAGAAAGAAAAGTCCAAAAATGAAGCATTTAAAGATACATTTTCAGTCCAATCCAGTCCATATGATAGAACTTGCAGCAGGGGTTGATCAGACTGGAGACGACGCCTTAATGTCCACAGTAGATCTCCATCAGCGTTTCAGAAACACACGAGAAATGTTGGCATCAACAACAGGAAATACAAGTTTTCAGGCAAAAAAACAAACAAATGAGACAAATCTCTCTGAAATGTTGGTACATTTCCTAATAATGTGACAAATTCCTAAATATGTTGTTTAGTCATTGAATTATTATTTACCAGACAAGCATTTTAAAAAAGAATCTGACAAACAAAGATGCAACAAAAATAGGGAATGGTACAGAGTAGACAATAAACATTCCGGAAGGTTTCTTTAATTAGCAAGTTAACTGTTTTAAAGGAGCGTCCACAAAGTCTTTATCTTTACAGTCAGACACTCTCTCATCAGTCTAAGTCTCATAACCTCCGAGCAGCAACGTGACCAGAAAATGTTTTATTTTTTCTGGTACCGACTTTGAAGATGACTTTTAAAAAAAACATGAATTAGAGACATTTCTTCTACAAATACTGTCAGCATTTGCCTGATAATCATCACAGAATAGACCACGGTGTTTAATGAATTAAATCAGACGACAGACACCATTAAAAAAACCTACACCTGGCCTCGAGCATGCTGCAAATAGTGCTGATAAAGGTCTGAAATGGCAGGGTAGGCCTCACCACACACAGCACACTTGATACCGTCTGATGTCTTTCCAACATCTGTTTTCGTTGCATTTCTGTTTGTGATTGTTGTTTCTGTTCTGAGTGTTCTATTCGGTTTTCCTAATGCGTTATTAATATCCTCGTCGTTGACTTCCTCATCTGGAATTCCAGATGTGTTCGAAGGGTCTGAAGAATCCACAGGCACTAGAGGAGACACTTGTGGGTCCAGTTTGGACCAACTCTTCTGAAGACTGCCGCTCTTGGGTTTAGAATGCACTGCGAGGACGTGGTTCATGTGAGGACTAAACGTTTTCTTGATCGTCTGTGAGCTGTGAGCCTCTGACGATAGTTTCAGAGCAGTAGTACTGTTAATTTCTTGTGCTGCTGAATGGCAGACCTGATGAGCGAACAGCATGTCCAGGGTCCTGAAGCTGCAGCTGCACTGTTCACATTGATAAGGCAGGAAGACTTTTTTACTCTTAGTCTGGACCCACCGAAACTCCGGGTGTTCCCTCATGTGTTTTTTGTAACATTCAACAAAACGAAAACCTCTCCCACACTTGGGACAATTGAACCGCCCGTGTCTCTGTCGATGAACTCTTTGGTGATGCCACAGTCTTTTCCAGCTGTTAAGAGTCTTGCCGCAACAGGTACAAGTGTAGCTTTGACCTGGGGCATGGGTGAGCATGTGTGCTCGGAGTCTGCCCATGTGTCGGAACAGTCGTCCACACCGCGGGCAAAGATATCTCCTGGGGTCGGACCTGTTGTCGAGTTGGTTTAACTTTGTCACCAAGTGTGAGTGACACTGATGAGACACGTCTGTCGACTGGAACGGTTTCTTGTGGTTGGTGATGTGTTTCTTGTGGACAGGCAGCAAATGTTTGTCCTCACCATTGGCATCAAGTAGAGGAGGTGAACTTGAATACCTCAGGGAAGGCACAGAGAACTCCACCAATGACATCCTCTCTTCTTCCTTAATGTCAGGGTCAAAGTTTTTTCGCTCCCTGCAGTGATTTTGATGGCTGTTAAACTCAGAAAGCATGGCAAACAGCTTGTCACAATACAAGCAGCGATAAAGTTTTGCACCAGTGTGACCTTTCATGTGTCGGTTGAAATCCGATAAATGATCAAAAACGTTTTTGCAAATGTGGCATGTGTAGGTCAACGTAGGCTTGGTCTCGCTGTTGACCTGGGATGCGTCATGGCCTCCTGTTGTCCTGCACGTGTGATTCTTGGCATTGCTGTAGTGGGTGAATGATTTTGCACAGCGAGTGCAGTTGTAGCGCTTCACGGTCCAATGGGTCAGCTCGTGTACACGAAGGAAATAGGCTTGACCGAAAGCTTTTCCACAAATATCACATTTGTAAGGCTTCTCTCCTGTGTGCACGCGCACGTGTCGTATCAGAGCAGACTGGAATGGAAATGTTTTCCCACAGTACTGGCACTCTTTCAATGTTTTCTTTATGGTGACTGGCGTGTTCAGTGTCTCAGAGTCATTGTTGGCTTGTTGTTCCAGTTCCCTGGCATGGAACTTCATATGAGACTCATACTCAGGGCTGGAGTATTTAATCTTACAGAACATGCATTTTTTGTATATGTTGTTTCTGCTGTGGGTCTTCAGATGGAGATTCAAGTTTGAGTTCTTGCTGAAACCTTTGCCACACTGGGGACATTTGAACGGCCTCTCTCCTGTATGGATCCGTTGATGGATGACAAACTGAGACAGGAATCTAAAGGTACGACCACACTCGCAGTTCCATATCCTCTTACTTTTCTTGTTCATTTTGATGGCACTTCGGTCAGCATCAAAACTGGCCTCTTGGTCATCGTCAAAGTCATTATCTGTGTGTTGACTGTCAGTGTAGCCTTTATGACCAATGCTTTTGTACTCTAGACCCTCAGAATCAAACATGTTTCTGTAACTTGGTTCTAAAATGTCAGGACTATCAGGCTCTGATACAGGTTTTTGGTAATCCAGGTCAAGTAAGTCATTGTCAGTCTGTAGACATTTGTCAGGTTGATGTTTCTGTTCTGACATGATGACATCATCAGTGTCCTTCTGCAAGCCGGTATCCCTCGGAGAGTCAGGACTACCTTCAAATATCGAGTCTTCTTCAACATTTATGCTGACTATCTCTTTTATTTCTGTTTGATTTTTATCTGAACTTGACAAATTTAGAATCCCCATGTTCTTTGTTTGGGATTTTTGAGCTAAATTGACTTCCTTTAGCTCTTGTTCTTTGTCTGTTCCTGACCATGATGAACACTGACCACCATATGTATGTCTTACAGAACCTTGGAGGTCAGTGTCTCGACCATCCACACAGGACATATTAGTGTTCAACACCGATCGATCGTCTGGAGAACTAATGATCCTGGACACTTTTGCAGACACATGCTGATCTCCCAGCGTAGACCTTCGTTTAGCGCCTCGTGTACGAGTGCAGAGTTTTGAAGTAGACCGTTCATTTTTCTTCAGTGCCGCTTTGTTATCAGACTCAGTGTTTTGTGTCCCATCTTTAGGATCAACCAGTTCACTAGGATCAGAATCTCCTTTTTTTGTAAAAGGGCTATATAACCCTGGATTTTCTGTGGTGCTTGGATTCACTCTGTCTTTTGTTGGCAGCACATCTTGCGCATTCCTATCAGGGACTGTAGGGGGAGCAGAGCTGTTTCTGTCAGGGACAGCACTATTGTCATAGTTTTCCACATTTGCTGATGGTGTTTTTGTTGTACTGACATCCTTCTGCTGAAGGCAATCAACACCAGCAGCATTTTGTCTGTCTGTTCTATGGTGTTCCATAGTTGGTCCATCACCGTCTGCTATGGACAATAATGTTGGCATCACTGGAGCCTTGGCCTCCATCCCCGTCTGTGGTAATATGCCTTCATGCTGATGAGAGTTTTTGGCACCGCCTGTTTTGGCGCCAACATGGCTGACACACTCCACACTCCATGATGATTGGGGTTCTGTGGTGGTTCTCCTCTGTTCTGTTGCTCTTATTTTAGACCTCCACCTGGAGTCCAAATCACTGTATTCTTTGTCTTCAGAATCCTGTTGAGAAATAGACTAACTGTTACAAACGGTTAACAATCAATCATTTGATTTTCATCATTTCACTAGAAACAATAAAACAATTAATCAATTAAATAACTCAAACTGGTTAGAAAAAAGTTTGATATTTATATTTTATATATATACATATATATATTTCTGGTTTTATTACACATCTGTATACATATATATATTTCTGGTTTTATTGTTTTATTACACATCTTTTTTGTATATAGTTTCTGCTGCTTCTGGAACAAGGACATCTGTCATTGTCACATTTTTACTTTTTTTTTTTTCACCCAATGGACAGATTGATTACTAAAATAATGGATGGCTGCAACTCAACTAAATTCTTCCCACTAAACCAGCATATTTCAAAGCTCATTCTCATGACTTACTTTAAAAAAAGTTGTGTTTTCAGGTCAAAGTGTGACTATAAAGGTCAAACATGTTGACCCTGGAAGGCTGTTTAAATCACAGATGAACTGGAAACAGGTGGAGATACAAAGAGTGGCTGCGGAAGAAATAAACACTGGAGTCCTTTCTCAGTCCTAAACACTTTGTGAAAAATGTCCCTGTCATTTGAAAAGAAATGTTTGTTATCAACAGGTAGGAAAAATAATTTACAAATGTGGATACGTCCAACCACAGGACACATCTGTGAAGGACAGAAAGACAATCAAACGTGTTCTGTGGTGCAACCGTCAACTTTTATGTTCATTTGGAGGATCAGATGGGAGAGAACCATTGATGTGGAGACAGATACTGGAATTTGAGAGACGTGATGCCACCTACCAGAAGATGAAGGATTTTTTAGCAGGATATGACAATCTTATCCTGCAGTAACTGTGAAGTCATCACTTTGTAAGGCAGATGTCTCGGCCTGACTGGCCTACCTGCATTTCAAATATGTCTTGTATCCATCACATTATGAGGAGGACATAAGGATGAAAAACGAAGGACTTTATAGCTGATAACGTTTTTTAAGTTAAGTGCAACTTCTAGTTATTCAACAGTTGCAATAACTTATAGCTCCCAAAGTATTTCTGACTACACAGGGAAATAAATGGAAACCAATGTCAATGTGTCAAAACCTTTTATGAATATATTACAGTAAATAAATTAGATTATGTCTAACAAACAGAATTATGGTGTACTAAAACACCAAAATTATTATAATTTTTTTCTTTGATAAAGAAATATATATGTGAATCAGATATAAATATTTTATTTTTTGTTTAACATTTTACATTCATACATTCATTTGTATTTCTTTACATTTGACTCAAACTGTTAGACGCATCGTTAACAGACATCATTACTCTGGGAAGTTCTTTTTAACACCAAGCTACCTGCTTGCAGTCCGTAGGAGCGTGAATGGTACTGCAAGGTTGAGGTGTCACAGAAGTGAATTCAGAGACTGTACTTTGGGCACTGCTTCCTCTGTTGAGGGACATTTTACTCCCCATGTCAACCGTCTGTGGATTAAACAACGACAAGTAGGTTTGAGCTCATCAACAGTGACATGCAATCATGAAGAAAAAAAAAAGAGACTAGAGACCATGTCACAGAGCATACACTACAACGGACGTGTTTCTGTAAACATACTTGTCAAGTCACTGTAGATTATTTCCACTGGTCACTGAAACAGAAATGACCATTTAATGTTTACTTTTAAGTGACAAACCAGGTTAGTTAATCTTATTAATCAATAACATTTCATTAACACACGTGTGTCTACAGAAACCTTGGTGAATGTGGAACAGGCAAACCAAGTGAAAAGTTTTGTTTTTATTTCAAGTTTTCCAAAAAGGTTTTTTTTTTTAAATGCTTACAGGTTTTCATATAAGTGTTAGGCCTTCTGTGTTAATGTTTTCCTTAATAAATCCCTCAAGGAATGTTAACAGCTGTTAATCTATAATCAATCTCTGTAAAATATAACCCTAATTAGTAACAAAAAACTCAACAGGTGAGCCACTTTATTGATGTCTTGTAGGGGTTAGATGTGGGAAGTCCCAGGGCCGTAATTGGCCCACAGGCCGAGAGTTTGATACCCCATCTAAACAGTTTTAGTTGCTAAGTTGCTGAAAAACCTAGATGAACCTTACATTTTTAAAGTTTATCCCAGGTTTTTTTTAACAACATGAGCAACAACAACCATTTGACTTTATAAAGTGGTAGCGTTTTGTGGGTGGGGGAGAGAGTAAGTTTAAGCGACCATTAGGTAGAAAAAAAAACTAGTTGCTGTTATCAGTTGCCCTCTGGTAAACACCTTATTACACTATATGTGGACTGTAAATCACATTTTTACACATTACATACACCGAAAAGTGTAATATATACATTATAAACATCCCCAGCTATATATTTGTAACAAAACAAAGTAGAAACAGCTTACCAAAACAGTGGAGGCATTAATTTCCCGTAGGCCACAAATGGAGGCTAGCTACTATTTTTTAACAATACAGGCCGCCCGGACACCCCGTCAACTTCACCGTTACATCGTTTTTTGTAAAACGCCAAGCTTCCATCCTAGGTACTTACTAATCAATTAAATCTCTGCGTAGTAAACAAGATTCTTGCCTGTGAGTGAATGTGTTATGGCTCGTCTCCGCGTAGCCACACACAGACCGTTGCTCCACGGGCTATCCACTGGCTAGCTCCAGGCTAACATATGCTCTGTCGCCGTCCTCGCTGTTTGGCATTGTTTGACACAAATGCAGTGACCAGACACGTGTTTGTGTCTACGTGAAATGTCCTTATTTTCAAAGTAAACAGCGACTACGCGAGGAATTCCACGCACAAAATCAGACAGAGGAGTGTCAATCACGCTGAATGGGAAGTCGCCGGTGTGTTTAAGTACAGTGGGAAATATCAGAGTTTATATTTTTTCTTATTAAGTCACTTCGCTTACTTATATATTATACCTAACTGACCCGTTTTAAAGTTCGCTTTCCAATCATATAGTAAAGTTTTAATTTTGCTAATTTTCCGCATTATAGAATGTATCTATGAATAGCAGGGCTGAAATAGATACACAACAATGCATTTGATTTGCCAGTTATTGATGTTGTTTCTTACCATCCAATCACCACCTTTAACAAACGAACGGTCCCGCCTCTCTAGATTAACAATCGAAGAACGAGCCAATCAACAGCGAGAGGCAATAATCTTTTAACTTCATTGGCATGTAGAAAAATTGAGATCGGAGGTGTATTGAACCAATTAATTGTTCCAAGAAAATTACGGTATTTTATGCTATTTTGTTCAACTTATTAACAAGTACACACCACTTTTATTTAAAACCCGCCCTCTACTGGACGCACACATAATAGCGTCCGAATGAACTCATCTTGCGCTAAATATCTACAGGTTGGTCCAGCTGTTTTCTTTGATATTCTATCCATCTAAAGTGAATGGGAAACTTACCGATTCTTATGAGTTTGAAATAGGATTGTGTTGTGGAAATTGACCTATAAGTAATTATTTTATTTTAAGTCAAGAGTACAAAAGGAGGCTCCTATTTTAGACAACCATGCTTCACATTAGTCTACGAGGAAAATCAGTCACAACAAACATTCCCACAAGATTCAGATTTATCATACAAAGCACTCAGATGAACACAACTCTTACCTGTTTGCCATTCCTTCACAGGGCCACATGTAATCAATCAATTTAGATTGTCCAGTTAACCCAGTGGTTCTAAATTAGTTTTTGTCATGGTGCCCCTTGGGGACAGAAATGTTTTCACATTGTAAAATATGAATAAAACATCAGCCTTTCATGCTCTGTGGTTCTGTCAACACAAATATTTACACATTATTTACTACTATGGAGGCAACAAATTTGACAGATGGTTTTGTGACACATGGTAGTTATAGACATTTTATACCTGGCCAACCAACCTACTGTCAAACTAAAAATGTTCTGCTTTGTTAGTCACAAACGCACTTAGAAAATAACAATGCATATATATTTTAATATTTTATTTTTGAAGTTTACCAAAATTAGGGGGGGACACAAGATATCCTGGTCAGCTTCACAACAAAATTTCTGTTTATATACTTTAACATATTCTAAAAGTAAAACATACTGCAGTAATTAATTACCCCATTTAAATGGTAAAACAATACAATGGATTTTATTTTAATTATAAACACTTGATAACCACAGCTGGATACCAATTGTTTCAGGGATACAGGGTCTCTTACTATAGTACTAAAGAGAAAATGTTTGACAATTCTCACTGTACATCACACATCAAAATTAATTTGTGGAGTAGTCTAGAATATTGTGTTCCTGTGTGTCGACCATAAACCAACTGATATCGTTCAACAGGAGGTTACCGCACTTGGTCCATTTTCAACAATAAACATTACATGCAAACCTGACATCTGGCTGTCAAGTTTTAATGGGAACAGATGAGGTCACTTGGTAAATCATCTCAGCTGGTTTGTCGGGTTCACTTTCAACAATGTAACAATCATCGTCAAGATCTCCATTTTTCTTGTTCACCGAGTCTGGTTGTTGAGGGCCGTCCAGATCAATGGTCACAATCTGGGGTTTCTTCATGTTGCCTGCAAATGGTGCTTCGGGCTTCCTCTCACCATTCATCTGAATAGGACCCAATTTTGTCAGCGGCATTTTATTTAGGTTATGATGCTGCTTTCCTCCACGCCCCTGCTGTGCCATAAACTCTCGTGCTTTGGCACACTTATGCCTCTGTAGTAGCTGAGCAGACTCAAAGATAAGATGGCAGACTCGACATTGGAGCGGATTCGGTGGTGGTGATCTTTTTATTTGGCTTTGATTAGTTGATGGAATGGAGAGAGTGGAGTAAGGCTTGGAGGCACGGTGACTCCAATTCTTTGACTGCAGTGATGAGTTGACATGACATCTCTGATTACTATCAGAGTATGCTATGGAATTGTGTTTTAGTGAATGCAGGTTGGAAGTCAAACTAGGTGCCTGAATGCCAGCATTTTGATTTGGCATGTTCCACTGAAAAGAAGAAGTGGCCTGAGGAACCTGAACACTTAGGTTGTGACTCATGTCTATACTGACTTTAGTTTGCCCTTTGAAATTAGGTGGTTTTGCAGTAACGACTTTGAGTTTGGCAGCAGAGCTGGGTGCGTTGCAATTATGGAAGCGAGGAACGACCTTTCTGCTTGAGAGCAGCATCCCGCATCCCACACAGCCACAAACTCTGTCTGTGACATGATTGTTGTTGTGGGTGACTAGAGAGGCCTTTGTGAAGAAATGTTGGCCACATTTTCCACAAGTGTACGGCATACTCTTGTGAAACTGGCGCACCGTTTTTATTAACACAACTGGCTGGTAAACTGTCCATAAATCCACGGTAGGTGCGCCTACATCTGCAAAAATGTTATGCACATCTGGTGCCAAGTTGGAATTTTGAGGGAATGATGTCTTTAATGCAGAAGGGGTATATCCAGGCACTTGTGAATTCTGTGCAGTTTGTATAGATCCTTTAAGCATGGTGGTTGATATTGTATGATGTGAAGCGGACATGGACTTTGGCCCAATTGTATATTTAGGTGCCTTCCAGATAACCTCACCAGTCTGTATTCTGTTGAGCTGCATCTCTTCCTGCTTCCGCTTCTCAATCCTGCGTTGTCTTATTGTTTCATGATCAAGCACTTGGTGCCCTGGCTCATGTGTCGTACTGTGCTCATGCATGTCTGTGTACAGGGCAAACTCTGTTCCACAGGAGCAGATGTAACATGTTGCAGAACACACATGTTCCTCCAGGCATTTACGATCTGAAAATATTTGCTCACAGTTGAAGCAAAACCTTCCTGCATTCATCAGATCTTTGCCTATTCCATCCTCCAGAACATTTCCTTGTTTTAGTCGTCCCTTTTCCATGCTCAGGCTCGATGAGGGTGCATTCATTGATGATCCTAGGCACTGAGTACCTTTTCTGCTGAGACAGGAAAAAAAACCCGTCATGTACACTTTTTTATATATATTCTGATATATACAATATGTAGATACAGTATATAAAAATCCTCTTCACATACTTCTCTACTACTTGACTCTAATCAGGGGAGTATGTTCTTAACCTCTCACTTTATCTTTAACAGGAACCATGCACATAGGCTCTTATTTCTATAGGTAGCATTGCACAACTACAAAATGATAATGACCAGGTGCTGAATGTAAACAAATATGTATTGTCTAAAAAAATGCATTTACAGTCATTATTCAAGATAGTAAGCACCTACAGGCAATCCTGTAAGATTTGACTAAAGAAAACCCTAAAGCAAAACTAAAACGACACTTAGCATCTATCTGTGTTGTGAACCCAACTAGTGCATGATCTTGTTTTATTATAATTTACAAACTGTTATCCTTATCAGCTGCAGCGTAGTGTTATGCTTTTATTTATTCTTTGATGAGGCCCACTTGTGTTACCTCCAAGCCCCATCAGTGGTTCACCATCCAACATTTGAAAATCACAGTAGCAAACGAGTGTCATTGTGCCTTAAATTTTATATATATATATATATATTAACTAGTAACCTTGTGAAGCTTTTAGTAAATGGCCAGTTGTTTTCCGAATCAAGTTCAACATTATAAGTTGCGTTGACGCTACCAGTCATTCTAAGCAAAGGCACAATGACACATTAAATAAACTAATCTGATGCGATACAGTTAAAAGTATGAGTTGCTTTATTAATTTCGTATAATTGAAAACACTATTTCGAACGGCATGTTGCGCAAACTCGCGGGTTTGTGTTAGGTTTATACAATATCACCATGCTATCGTCAACGACTAGCTGCTATACATTAACGTCACGCAAACTTACACATGTGAATAAAAGCAGCTCAGTCTCAGATGCTTGCAGCGTTCTTGGACTAAACACCGGGCGCTTTGTCCATTGCCGTTTTACAATAAATCCGGAATCGCGCCAAATAGCCGGCGTTCAACATCCGACGTTAGCAGCTAACAGCCATTAGCCAAACCAGCAAAGCAGAAGGCCGGAAAACCTGAGAAAAAGCTGACTTGTTCGGCGAGACCCACACCCGCGGTGCAAACGCCAGTAGTGTGTGAGCATACTGACACCTACTGGCTGGAGGCGGAGGTTCACCCTTGATGCACCCTGCTTTGTTAATACTAATTTCAAGGGTCAGATTTCCCTTGGATTTAGTGCAGGATACTAACGATACTTAACATTCATATACTTCCATCTATTATCTGCCGCTTGTTTCTCATTTCCATTAGCTTGAAACAGCCACCATAGCAACCGGGTATATTTTTAATTATACATATATTAATTATATATAATTTGCTGTCACCTGGTTAAATTAAAAAACCCCACAAGGAGGCTATGAACAAATATAAACAGTGTAATTTTACGCAAGGAATTAGTGCAAATGCAAGTTTTATATAATTTATTTCTCTTTCTCACTATAAGTATACAGTACACGCATACACTCATTTATATAAACAGTACACACACGCATATTTGTGTATATATATATATATATATATATATATAAATGGCACAGGTGGAAGGCATCAAGCAATGACATAAAGGAAGGATAATAAAAACAAACAACATGTGCAGGCAGTCAAGCTGATTGCATGGGAAAGGCTGGCAGAAGAGGAACAGGAGGCAGGTGCAAGAGATGAGAGAGACAGGCAGGGGGAGGAGCAGAGCAGATGTGCAACAATAGACAACCTGTCTTGCTTCCATTCACCTCCTTTCTTCTTCTGACCAGTGAACACCTCCTTTTAAGGCTCTCTTCCACCTGGGTTGTGCTATTATGAAGGTACAATGTCATCTGCTGGAATCATTACCTATAGAACCTCCCACCTACCCTCCTTTGTCTACTCGATCATCATCTTGGCCAAATACGAGTCGCGGGACTTTCTACTGTCCTCACCAACAACCACACTTACCAACACCGTTAGCATCCTATATTTAAAACTACATAATTTAATTTTTTTAACATTTAAAAAATGTTTTACAGAAATTTAAAAACCTCCATTACAACAATTTAGCATTAAGTGTGACACATATGTAACTGTAACACAAACAACACAAGCAAGTTATCATGTACTAGGAAGTTTATTAACACCAGGGACACACACGTACTATAATCACAATCTGTGTAATCCATGTTTGAACACTAATATTTCCAACATTAAATTAACTAGAAGAGCTTGTGTAATGATTGGTGTACTACAACTAAAATATACAGCATATCAAAATTTACAAATTTTACAATTCAAACTGAGTCTGAGCCTTTTAAAAACATCCCATTACCTCCTGCACAACATGTGGTGTAATGTAAAAACTGGCAGCTAAAGGGGTGGGTGGGAAGGAGGAGTACAAAAAACACATTTATAATAAAGATGCTTTGTAGTGTATGTACCAATCCACATCTGACCCCCATCGGTTCTCTTGGTTATTCAGTTTTCTTTTGTCTGTTGAATGACATTTGTTGCCATTATGTGATGAATCTTTCTGCGGTGGGTTTTGAGTGACTTAAGGTTTGCGTACGTTCCCTGACAGATATCGCAGCGGTATTCGGACCGTTTGTGAGTCAGCAGGTGCCTCTGCAAACCGACCACAGTGTTAAACCAGCGGAAGCAAGAAGGGCAACGCACAGGCTTCACGGCAGGCTTGCAAGTGCCACTCCTCTGGTGAAACGTAAGACTGATCGAGTTGGGGAAGTCGGAGTTGCAGTTGGAGCAGTGGTAGGTTTTTGGTGGATTTGCGGCGGAATTTGAAACCTGTGCTCCTTTGCAACGATTCCAGGAGACGTGCCGCCAAAGGGAACAGCGAGAGGAAAAAGTGTTGCCGCATCTTGTGCACACAATCCGCGGTTTCTTTTTAGGAAGATGCAGTAGACGTGGCTGCTCATGTGAAGGCTGACACACAGGAGGAGCAGCTGGTGTCTGCTGCGGCTGAACTGGCTGTTGCTGAAATCGAAGCAGCAGGGGTTGGGATGGCTGTAGTCCCTTCAGCAGCTGGTTGTGTGGATGCATGTGTATCTGCAAATGGACTTCATAATCAGCCCAGGAGCTAACAGTTTCACCACATGTTGGACATGTGTACGACTCCTGTGCATGCTTTTGCAGGTGCTCCAGGAGGAGCTTTGGAGAAGTGAATCCCACACCACACTCACATGTCACTCTTCTAGGAAGTACAGAGGGCAGCGACATGATGCCCCAGTTGCTCTCGTCATCCTGCGGGGTTTGGCTATCTGTAGCACTGGCTGAGAGGTTCTGTTGGATAGATCCTTTTTTTATGTCTGACGCAGAGCGATGCTGGCATCTCTTGCTGTGGGACATCATGTTATCTTTACGGTTAAAGTTCCTCCCACAGAAAAAACAGGCAAACAGTCTTAAACCATCTGCAGTCAGCTGGGAAGATGCAGTGCCTGGCACACGTGGCCTGAACGCACAGAGCCGCAGGTGACGTCTCAAGGTACAGGCCTGACTGTAGGTTTTATTACACCTGCTGCACGGATACCACTTAACTCCATCTCTAATAACATACTGTAGGTTATTTGATGAGTCTTCATCTACCACTGGTCCAGATTTGTTTATCTCTTTTTCAGCATCACCTTTACCTGCAGCATTAAACCCTACCATGTCATGGTCCAGGGGGATCGTCCATTGTCCTTCATTACCATCATTATCATCATAGTCATTGTTAGAATCATCATCATGGGCTGCAGCCTCATTCCAGTGCATTTCTTGTTCTTGCGGTGATGGAATTAAAGAGGCATCATTGTTCTGACCAACCACTGAAGATTTGGGATAAAATAGTGGGAAATGTTCGGCTGGAGGATTCCAGGCCTGCTGTGATCCTGAAGACTGCTGTGAGTCAGGAGATGCCCCCTCAACCTTTATATGATTCCCCATTCCAGTGCCCACAGAAACACTCTTGACAAGAAGGGATTCTGGATTTTCCTGCATTTCTGTCACTCCATTACTGCTGGATTTCAATAACAGCCTGTTCTGAATGGGTGCTTCGGTTTGCTGAGAGGGAGCAGAACCAACACACTTGTGTTTTTTGAGGTTCCATCTGCGTGCATAGGTGTGTTTACACAATGGGCAAAAGTAGACCTTTTTTGGGTTGCCTTGGAGTTGCTTCACCTTTTGAGCAGATGATTGTCTGCTTTGATAATGTGGGGATGGCGAATTTCGACTCTTCATCTGGGGACATGTGTGATTGTCAGGTAAAGGTACCCGCCCAATGATTAGCTGCTTACAGTGACGACAACACTTGATCCTCTCTTTCTTGTGTAGGAAGTGATGCTCTGTCAACTTATCCAAATTCTGAAAAACCCTACGACAGCGACCGCATTGATATATTCCATATAACGCATTACCCACAGGATCCCTCAGTTTATTTCGGGTTTCAAGAACCACAACTGGTGACAAGGTCATGGTCAGAGAAACAACTCTTTTCTTACTTAACTCAATAACTTTGCTAATGGATGGGGCCTTTGTCTTTCCACCTGGTTGTGAAAGTAGTTTCTTCAATTGTGCAACTGAGAGTTCATTGCCAGGCAATACGTCAGCTTTAGGAATAGGGTTTGCTATTGGCGTCACGTCAACAGGGACAACCTCTTCCTTGAGAGGAACTGAGGGTTTATTATCATTATGGTTGGGGGGGTGAGCGGAGGAAAATCGATGCCTGTATGCTGATGCTAACAATTTCATTATTGACTTGTTACTGGGCAAACTGTCATTGTTATTACTATGAGAAACAGGGGTCTGTTCGTTCTCGACACATTTTTCAGTCTCTGAGATCGTTTCAACTGTGGGTGCACTGTTAACTGTTTTTGTACCATCTCCTCCTTGAGGTGTGGACAGGCCTTGTTCTACTTTGGCAACTTTACCCCCTGAGCTGATGTCTGCTAGCAATGAGTCTTTTAGTGCAGGCAATTCAGATGATATTGGGGATTTGGAGGTAGAGGGTCGATCATGGACCACATCAAGTTGGGTAACAGTCTGATTGAGTGATACATGTTGGGTAACAATATTGCTATCCTTGGGCTGAGAGAGTTGGACTTCAGCAATATGGGATCGCTTGTGCTCCAGCATTTGACTGAAGTTCTGAAACTCCTCTCCACAATCACAAATGTAAAAAGAAGTCTGAGAAGTCACGGGATGAACTGCTGGCAAAACAGTAGGCTCAGCAGGTGACTGCGTACTTGTAAATAGTCCTTCATGTGAGCTGAGGCTAGGCTGCTGGGCAACAGAGGAGACCTTGTTTTGTGTGCTTGCATGTGAAGCCTGATGGACGAGCAAAGAAGACAGTCCACTAAAAGTGGCTGAACAGGCCACACAGCGGTAGACTTTGGGGGAAGTAGTAGATCCCTGTAACCCAAGCATCATGGGAGCAAAAGCCACAAAAGAAGTCCAGGATTAGTCGTCAGGGTAGTGGCCGCCTGGCAAACAAGCACAGAAAATGTAATTGGTGAAAAACATGTAGTTCATGAAAATACTGATGAGATTATACTTTAAAATAAAACTCCATTAATTTTCAAGCTAGACTTTAGCATGGCTGTGAAGGAGGCTTCAGATTTTTGAAATGTACTACTTGGAACCAGTTTCCACCACATTTCAAGTATATAATAAAAAAAAACCTTTTCTACAACTTATAATTGTTTGTTTACATTTAACTGTTGGAATAACAACCCCACCCCATTCACAAACTTAAAGCCTTCGCTTCAAATCCCTACTCACTATTATTTAAAACACTCTTTAAAGCCAGGAAATAAAATCAGTGCAACCTCCCCACTGTTGAACATATACTACTACAATAAAAATAACAGGAAAGAATAAGAATACACATTACTTTCCCTTTCTTTGCATACAGACCATGTCTGACATACATTTGAATTAGAATCAAGTGACAGGTTGGGTAGGTTCTGGAAAGTTAAATACACTGCATCAGTAACGCCCTGAGATTTCAAAGAGAACTGGGTGAAGATGCACCTTTGAAACTCTTTTAAAGAAACAAAGACGTGAGAAAGGTTGAGAATTCTGGAAATAGTGGTTTGCTGAAGAAACTTGGTAAAGCAGATAAACACACTTTAAGTTTACTTCCCTTTGAAACTGTCTATCAGTGCCATCAACACAGAACTGGCTGAAACTAGGGAACCCAATTGGGTGCAGGTGCTTTGTACTGATGAATCTGGTGTAGCAGAAGACAGTTTGACTGGACACTAGGATGCTTTAAATCTCCAGGCAACATGACATATGGGAGTTTTTTAGCAAGTGTAGAGATAGATTCTTGCACAAGGGGTCATAATTGACAATAAGAATATCTGTGGCCAATGTTAAAAAAATAAAAAATAATTTAGCAGTATATCTGTGTGGCGCTTTGGTCCAGAGGCAATGTCTCTGTCATTGATGTGGAACCCCAGGGTTCACTTCTTGGGCAAGATCGAATCCCAGCGGTTGGTACCTTCCAGTGGACTCACCACCCACAGGAAGGTTCAGGGGGGTTGGTAGAGTGCAGTGTGATTTGGGTGGTGGTCATAGAGACTGCTGCCCCCGCGACCCGGTAACAGGTAAGCAGATGAAAATGGATGGATCGACAGTATACCTGTGCTAGGTGATCCTAAAATAAAATACAATAGAATATATTTTAGGCTATGGGTGGTCACACCAAATATAGATATTTTTCAGACTTATCCATTTGTGCATTGATCAGTTAATTTAATGGAAACATTGTTAAATAAATATCACTTCACATTTGGTATAAATATTCTGACCCACACATCACAGTCTGGGTTTACTTATTATTGAAGGATTGAATAGGTTTTTCTACAAGTCTGGACATGAATGGTGTAGTGAGGGACATCCACGCATAACACATGACTTCACTACTACATGCAGCCTGTTTTAGTGTACAGCGTATCCGCAACACTGAATCTAGAATTCCATTACTCATTATTTGAAGAGGCAAAGCATGTAGTTGCTAAATTAGAAGAGAAAACACATACTTGAGTCTAAGCAGCATAAATGCAGCAAACAAATACACGGTGAAACGCAAGTGAATGAGCTCTAATGATTCAAATTTAGTGTAAAGCATATTGTAAACAAAACATTTTGATACGATGTCAACTCCGTTACACACCTACACAGTATTAACGTGATGAGCGCCGGTCAGGAACCAACGAGCTTTTTTTTTAACACACACGCTGTGTTTTAGCTTACTGCGTGAACTGATTTGAAGATTTTGTCTTCGAAAGCTCCCAGAAGTTCTTTGGCCACACGGTTATGAAAAGGCCAGAAAAGGTCCAATAGACGTTAGCAGAAGCTAGCAGCTCTGACCAGAGAAGCTTCCGCTGCACAATAACTAACCAACCGTGCCTTAACGTACTCACCAACCCCAGTGAAGCAAACGCCTTTCTTCACAGACCCACAAAGGTTTGGCGAACAGAGAAGCAGCGGCTCCGTGGACATCTGTTCACGCACAGGGTGAAACTCTCGGGGGAGGAGAGGGGTGAACGAGCGTCAGCTCTGCTCCGCTCTAGAAAAACGTGCTATAGTGCCAGGAAGCAGCAGCAACAGCATTGGAAGCAATAGAAGAAGAGCAAGAAATCCAGCGCTGCAGCCGCTGCAGGCGCCAAGAGAGCAGCAATGACGCACGCGCACTGAGTCCAGCCTCTGCCGGAAGTAGCCGACCAACTCGACAGGACACGCATATTGTACAGTTCTTGGTTCGTATACATTGCGGCCATCCGATTTCCGTTTTGAATTAAAAAATTAAAAAACAAAACGACATGATTTTCGTTTTAAAATCAATCACCAGAAAGCGGGAGACGACTTATATCCCGTCGTTTTTCTTAAACTCTAAAAAGGAAGATAGCAAATGGCTCTTCAGTTGACTTTAGATGCTGTGAAAAAATGAAATTGAGAAAAAACATTGCTTCTTTTCCAATCCCGAGTTTGCCTTAGGGTGTTTTTCAATGACCCGGAAGTTGTCTGTCTGTTTTATGCAACGTCTTTAGATAAGTACAGTCTCCTTTCGCTCCCTCAGTACATCGCGGAATTTTTTTTTTACTCCGTTCCGCGGAAGTATCGGTATATTGCGGTTTTCACGGGGAATATTTTCGTGATACAAAACATTTTCTAACCCAAAACAATTAAACAGTTAAAAAAAGGAAAAATAAATAAATAATTATACATACGAAAGTGTTGGCTTTAGAAATGGCTTTGTTTACCTGGACGAGATCGTGCACATCATTCTATTGGCTAGTTGAGCGTTCACTTCTGTTCCTCACGCTGATTGGCTCATGCATCAACATCTCTCAGCCTTGTCTGTCCGCCACTCGCCGTTACATAGTACCGCTAGTACGTTGCTGTAAAGTATGTGCTCTTGTGATTGGTGAAAGCGTACTCTAATTTAACGCCCTACGATGCCTCCTGAACGCTATGGTCATCTTCTCAGGCTTCTGTTACTATGCCCAAACGAAGACGATGACACAGATAACAGTTAACGCTGTGCAAGGCTTTTATATACGGTCCGTCCGTCTTGGCCAGTATTCACTCCTCTGTTAACTCTCCTCTCTCCTTGGTTCCGGCTCTTACTAATATAAGGAGGAGTGGATTACTCCCATTGCGCTCACCTCTGTCAGGGGCTGCACCACTCCGGTGCTCCCCCTTCTTGAGCGATCCCCTGCGCGTCGTATATTTAAATTATTTACGTAATATGTATGTCTTATGTTTCCGTTATACAACTCTACTGTGCTTATAATTGTCTGGGGAAGGGTAACATAGTCTAGGGAGGGTTGATAACGGTGTCGGGGAGGTTCGTAAAGGGTACATATATACAGAAATAATATAAAAACTATATTGCCCCACTTCTCGGATTTTCCCTTTTCAGTACAGGTCTTGGGACGCAATTACCGCGATAGGAGAGGGATCACTGTATTCAGATTTTATTAGACGATTTTTATTAGCTCTTATTTTAGGACAAGTGGGATGACCTGAGGTAATGCCTACACATTTGTTTCTAGCCCAAGGGCTTTTCCCAATTTCCCCAGTGCTATCATAAACGTGACACCATTATAACCCAGGGGTGCATATGGGATTTTTTAAATGGGCCGAGGGGTGGGTGGATTTGGTGCTGAGGAGGCAACCTTTCAACAATTATACAATAACCATAAGAATTAGAAATACTGACATTTATTTCACAACTTCAATTCATCATTAGTCATAGCACCCAATGGAATCAGTACTTCCTCAAGACACCACAGTTGGCCAAGTTGGGACCTCAACCTGGGTCTTCTTGATTGCCAACCCATTCCTCTCCCACTTGGTATAGGGGGTTCCATTGCACACACCAGACCAGCACCACAAACTCCTCTGCCCAGGCACAGTGTACTCTGCCCACATCCACACAGCCCCCCTTTGGTTCTCTGGAGTTCTTCACACAGGGCCAGCACCACATAGCATGCTTACTGCAGAAGGGTAAAAGTAAGTTGCAGCATATAACAAGATATAGGAAGAAGCTAAAGGAAAGAGAGAATGAAGCTGACAGACAATAAAGTCCTGTCACAGTAAATCTACAGTGCGTCTGAGGCATTTGAAATGAAAATCAGGAATTTATCGCTTCGCCTTCCCAGGATGAAGATGGGACTCACTCCTGTACCCTGTGACGCCTCAAGAAGAGGATTGTGGACTGAAGACTTCAGACAGCAAAAGATCATAAATTGGACTATCTTTCCACTGGACATTTGCCACAGATGTGTCCGGCGACAGTTGAGCTTCGACCAGGGGAAGCAGCCCTGTACCAGGTGCTTTAGGGCGTCGGCCCCATCTTGACAGTGAAGCTCTGCCGTGGTTGTGGAGAAAAGCAGAAATCACATCACTTGGCCAACAGTGTGTGGAGTCTTCACTGTTCCGGTGGGGTAGTTCCCCTATACCGCCCCATACTGCTTCCACTGCTTTCATTAGTCCTTTTTATTAGACACTTTCCCTAACTCGCATTACCAGCATATATATAATGAATGTATTACAAAGATCATCATTCTTTAAATAACACAAAAGAATAATCACACTTTTAATCATTCTTCAATGCTGCAGCTTCTGTTTGGGTACTTTTCATTCCAACATAGTGTTAACTATTACCCAACTCGTAACCGTTCAGTTGGTACATCTTGCTACTATCCCAATTCCTTATCTCTGAATTTGAAAGAAGTTGACTCTTTATTTCTTTATTCCAAATAATTCTAGGTACAGTACATGGTGTCCCTAGGTCCCTTTTCTTTTGAACATGCTTCAACCCCTCGGAACATGCCTCGTTATGCCATATTGTAAGCTGAATACGATTTTTTAAAATAATAACCTACTTATGCCTGGTATGATATACTGGGCTGTGACTTCATAAAGACTGTACACAACCCTTATTGACAGCTCCTCCTTGAGTTCAGTCACTATACAAACCATCATCCTCAGCGGAGAGAAGGACATCATCCTCAGGAGGTTGAAGGGTGTTGGCACAACGAGGTAGTCGCTCAGCCGGTGTAGATGGCTTGGGCCATTGATCCACAACCATCATAGCACTGGGTGTAGGTGATGGTGTGGGTGATGTAGGCGGCTCTTGTGATAAGGCTGAAGTAATGGGTTTCTCTGGTGTTGCTGAGGCCGATCCAGATAAAGCATTTCTGATAGCATCGATAGTGTGTTTCTCTATGTGTGAGTCAGATCCCTTGTGTTCTTTTATGGAGCAAATAGGAGAGGATTTTTAGGCTTACCTTTGTTTATTACAGACTTAGCAAAATAGGGAGTTCCAGAGCTCTGGGTCAGATCTACACGTCCGTGATATTTTCTTACAATTCCCCCTTTTGGTCCCAACTATATGAGACCAACCATACTTGTTTAAACCTTGTATTCTTGGTCAAATTCTTTAACTAGTGCCAAGGACTCTGTCTCTGCTGCAATCAGAGGCATTTGGTAGGGTGGAGAGAGATCCTTTTTCTCAATTGCTGCAACAATAATACGGTTACAAAGAGAGCGCATACAAGAGAGCGAGTACAACAACATCCACATAATGCTAGTGCACAGAACATTTACATTACAGAAAGTTATACCATCATCAGAACGTTTCACCACTTCCCAAATGTTTTGTCCAACCATGTCACAAAGGGATTCTTTATCCTGTTATAGGGTTTGTAATCCATGCAGAGGCCTAGAGACTGAGCCGTGGTGGTGTTTGCTAAACGCTGAACAGTATAATGAACATAATTAATCTGATCCTCGTTTTTGTTAGGCGTTACAGGGGAGGATTTTCAAAGCCAGTAGCTATGGGATCAGCCAAGTTTATATTTATTAGGGACTCCTCTGGGAACACTAATAGCATAAATCATACGGCATCTGCTGGATTTCCCCGGGTTTAACAGAAGGAGTTTCTTTTCAATTGTTTTTGTTGCTAAGAGAAGTTATTTTCACTACACCCATGGTATTTAGGCTAGCCTGGTCAACTCCCTGTATAAGATATATATCCTGTTCAGTTTTGGTCCGGCAGAGGGCAATTAAGGCCTCCCCACCCCATGTGGCTAATTTAAAGGCATATTAATTTGTCATAGATTGAAGAGTTATGCTCATTTGTCCTCCCACCCTGGTTGTTATATCAATTTTATCTTTAAATACAGGTACTGTAGGTTGCACATAAGGTTCCCACCCACTTCCTGTCCATGCAATGACGTACGACCAGGTTGGACACCAGAAGTTCTCACTGGTCCAGGGGCAAATGTAGTAATTATAGCCTTGCCAATAGTCTCTATAACCATAACAGGCGAGTACATCATAAATGTTAAATTGATATGTCATTGCTTCTTAGGTGATATGAGTGATGTGCACCTTACAAGTGGTATTGCTGTGGATCTTGGGTTCTAACCCTAACCCTAGACTGTGTCTCAGGCTCCACTCTCTGTGCATGTTCCCACCACAGGAGAGGCAGGACAACTACCCAGGTGATTATAAACAGGATACCTGTGCACCACCAGTTGCTCCATAGAATACTCACGTTGAAGCTTTAAGCCAAGATGTGATTATACGGATTACTTTAAAATATAAAAAGATGGTTATAAGAAAAAATGAAAATGAACTATGTAGCCTGGAGGATATGGTGAAGGATCAGGATGGGACTCAAGAGGGTAATGTGGGCAGTGTCGGGCCCAAAGACCTTGTTGGTCGCATGCGTAGCATATCCCTGGGCTGCTTGATGGACCTCATCCTCTTCCCCTTGGCCCACCCCTGAACCCTCCCCTACTCTGTCTAGTACCTCCCCAACAGGGCTGTGGTTGCTGCTGCCAAATATAATTTTTAGGAGGCGCATATGACGCTAGGGGTGGGCCTTGAGGTGGTAACATAGCAGGCTGAGTTTGGGGAGGTGGCTGCTGCACCATCTGTTTCTTCCCCATCTGTATCTTTTTAGCTTCATTCACCCTGTATTGTGCTTCATTTAACTGAAGCCTCTGCAGTTGTACCTGTGTATCATGCTGATCATCACTAGTCTGTTGTTGTTCCTGATTATGTGCCTTAACATGATGTGTGAGATGTTTTTCCCATTTCTCAGTGTCACATCCTGAAATATCATACTGCCCTGGGCATCCCTGCCATTACTGCTTTCCTAAACAATGTAGTCTGCAAAACATCTGAGCTGGAGAGGGCTCCAGTTATGTCTGTCCATGTATTCATCCATAACTTCCCCCCTACTCCCCTCAGTGGGGCTGGGCATTTTTTCAAGAATACAGTTAATATCTGTAAATAAGAAGGGCTGATACACCCTCTTCTTACTAGGGCCTTTATCTAACAAGGACATTGCAGTGGAGGAAACTCAACTTGTCCAGTTTTTGAATGTATAACTTGATCACAGGGGGTACCTGTTTTTTTCTTTTTTCCGCTTTGTGTCAGGGGCGAGAGAAGGAAACTGTACTGTCAGTTAATGCAGCTGCAAAGTCCTTATCATTGTCTGCCTGTTCGTTTCCCACACTGCCAACTCCACCGCATATTTCACTTTGCCATTCCTCTTCTAACTCCCAATAATGCCCCTCCGGTTTATGTCTCAGTTTATGTTTAATGTGTCACCAGAATATCTCCTATAGAATTATTCACACATATATTAAGGACTGATTTTAAAATTAACAATAACAATAATTACACTATAAGTTAATCATAAGGCACTAAGATTTTTACTTATATTTTCTTGCAAAAGAAATAACATGAAACACACTGTGGGTTATTTCTGACAATCCAAAGTCTTTGTGCTTCAGTGGGTTGGTTAGTCAAGCCACATTTAGAACAGGTCTGGCCAAACTCACAACTGTTAAAATGGTACATCTTGGTACTTTCCCAACTCCTCATCACTGAATTATGTGGAGCTGTGAACCTGTCTGATTTAACATGCCTTATCACCAGCGGCAAAGTACAAAGAACTCAATCAAACTCAATAGTGTCTGACATATATATAGCAGAAAGAGCTTAACAGATACAAGAATAGACAGAGTACACAGGATGAGTCATTACAACCACTTTAACCATGATGTCTATAGTTGGGATTGCAAGAACACGAGATACACCGTTGGCTTCCTAGACCATAGATATGGCAAAAGCAATGAATCATTTGTTGACCTCACTCCTCAGAAAAACACAATTCTCACACTGCAAACAACACAGAGTCAGAGTCATGTGACAAACACAACCTCCTTTCCTACCAAGGCCAATGTGATCTTGACATCCTGCGATTTGGTCAAGGCGTGGTCACCTCCTTTGTTGTGAAGGGTGGCCATAGAAGGGACACATAGAGAACAACTGTTCCTTAGACCCTAATTCCAATCTATGTGTTTGGAATGTTGGATGAAACAAACGTACCGCAAAAAACCTCAATCAGAAACAACAGTGCAAAACAGTGCATTATTATTATTACCTATTTCCGATTTATCTGAAGGGTATGACAGTTGTCACTCGAGACTCTGACCTGAGGGTACATATATGAACAGTAAAAGGTTTAGAAGGGTTGTTTGAATATTAACAAATTGTTTCTCACGCCAAGCCACTTAAAAAGGTTTATTACACATTCATATTGTGTGAATTCAGTGCTCAAAACATGCAGATATTATCCCCAATTGCATTGGGGGAGATGAATAAAAACACCAGACAACATTAAACTTTCTTTAGGTCAAATTTACTCGTCCTCTTAAAACAATCTCAAGCCACATGAATCTTAACATTCTCACACATGGTAAACAGTTAAACAAGAAATGAAAATTACAGTCACCTATGGTTTATGAGGTCTTGCTTTAGAAAACAGGTGTTAATGAAACAAGCAGCCTGGGGATGAACCTATATAACCTATACATAAAAAAAAACAAAACAAAAACAAAACGCCAAGCTCCAAGACATTTAAAAAAACAAACATGTCAAATGTACTGTTAAGAAACATTTTGTCAGTTTAGGGTATGAACAATTTTATACAAAAGAAAATATGTACATTTATGCACTACACAATAACAGCAAGAGAAAACCTTCGTATAGAAACATAACAGACTTTGCATTTATATCGAACAGTTCCTTAACTCCCACCCTCTCTCCAAAAATCGAGGTACCTTGTCTGATTAAAGGACTGACCCTTAAAGTAAGGGTATTTAGTGGAGGGTCAGTTGCACCAAATAATTACCGAGAGGAACTTGCATGAGTCTGTTGATGTTCCTCCAGTAGGGGCTGGAATGCAAAGGCTTTGTCACATTCTGTGCATTCATACACAACTTTACCAACATGACTTTCTTGGTGGCGTTTGAGACTAGCCGGGTGCTCGAATGACCTGTAGCACATATCACAGCGATACTTTCCAGGTCGTTTTTCAGTATGCATTCTCATATGAAAAGAAAAATCTTTGTGCTCTGTGAATTTAATATGGCAACGGCTGCATGTAAAGCTTTTTATTGGTAACTTAGTCTGATTGTGGTGGTGCCTGCGCTCATGCTTTCTGAGATACTGCCGCAGTGCAAACGATTTTCCACAGGTCTCACAACTGAACGACTTGTTGGTCTGATGCTCTTTACTGTGATGCTCCAGCAGATCACTTTCGGTGGAAAACGGTAGTGAGCAATAGGGACAGGTGTACAGGACATCTCCAGTGACATCTACTTCCTCCTCCTCCACTTGCATTGCTTTGTGAAAGAGTGAAGTGGGTTTTTCAGGTGAAATTTGCATGTTATCAGACTTTGCATCTATATGCTTTTGAAGAGAACAGTGGTGCTTCTGAAAGGCTTCACGTCCTGAAAACCTTTGTCTGCACGCTGAGCATTCAAACTCCATTGTGGGTGTACAATGACATTGCGTATGTTCTTCTAGCTTTCTTTTAGAAGGAAACGTCATTTTGCATACTTTGCATTCAATTATGATATCACGATGTGTCGGAAAATGACTGATCAAATTAATTGAACTAGAAAAATGTAGGTGGCAAACGGGACACTTGAAGTTTGAAGAGTTCTTACTTTCATTGTCAGCATTGTGTTTACTTTGAGCAGGACTGGCCATATGGGTCTCAATATGGCTGAGATAGTGCTGAGGAGATGAAAAACTACTCTTGCACAAATTACATGGATAATCAGTATTTGCCCATGATGGATGATGGGTGTTTTGATGCTTTTTCAGATGTGAAGAATGCAGAAAATACTTGTTGCAGTCAGAACAAACGTATGGCCGCTCATTGGCTGCTCTGCAGCCATGCTCTGACAGATGCTCAGGGTCTTTGAAACGCTCGTTACAAACACTACAGCGGTATTTGAACTCCTTGATGAATTCAGATGAGCTTTCAGAGAGTGATGCCGTAGGTTGATCAGAGACCGAATGGGTTTTCCGATGCTCAGCTCTACTACTCTTGGAGAGAAACACTTGACTGCATACGTCACATGGAAAGTTCTCTTCACAATGGGTGTTTATGTGTTCTCTTAATTGCCAGGGGCCAGAAAAACTTATGTCACACTTGGGACAACGATATGGACGGTTCTTGCTCTGAGTATGCTTATGGGTACGCAGTGCAAAGAGAGATGTAAACCCCCTGCCACATAGCTGGCACTGAAATTCAGACTGGTGCATTCGTTGATGCTGCTGCAACTGGGACGCCTGATAAAAACACTTTCCACATTCTTCGCACTCATGTGGTTTTTCACCCAAGTGACATCGCTGATGATCCTCAAGGCTTTCAGATGTATGAAATGTCTTCCCACACACATGGCATGGAAAGAATGGAGCAGTATCTGAATCACTTTCCTCCTCGTTACTCTCCTCCTTGTCACTTTTATCTGTCGTACCAGGTTCCCTGCTAAATATCTGCTGCTCCTTTGGGTGACAGTCTTTGTAGTGTCTTTGTAGTGACTTTTTTAATAAATATGCACTTTCACACAAATGGCAAGCAAATGCATCAGATGGGTGGTCTTTTTTATAATGATTATACAAAGATGGTCTCTTCCAAAACCTTTGATTACATAATTTGCAAAAGAAAGGCCTGGTTTGGTCATGTGTAGAACTGTGACTTTCCATATCTGATAAAGTGCTAAACACTTTGGAGCAGACAGGACAACGGAATTTTTGATTGATTGCATGTGTTCTCATGTGCCTTTCAAGATTATTTTGATTTGCGCACACTCGTCCACATTGAGGACATTTATTGAACTTTTTCTTCTGTTCCTCCCTTCCATGGTCCTCAAGGTGACTAATGAGTAACAACCCATCTGTGAAGCTCTTGTCACATTCTGAACATTGGTATTTGCTTTCAGTCTTTTTTGTTTCCGGGCCATGTGTAGACGGTTCAATCAAGTCATCTTTGCAGGAAAAACTGGTCTGTAGGACTCCACTGCCAGTTGCTGTTGAGCTATCCTTGAATACCAGAACAGAGTCATCCAGAGCTAAATCAATTTGGGCTTTCAATGGGACTTTGTTAAGTCCTAAATTACATTTTCTATAGTGCCTATGGAGGAGGTTTTTGTTCCAGAAATCCTTGTGACATGTTTTGCAACTAAAAAGCAGATCAGTAGAGTGTATTCGCTTGTGACCAACAAGTCCTGCTTTGTTTATAAAGGTCATATTACACTTTGAACAAACATGCTGCTCTTTTAGAGATGTATCTGATTTGTTGACACTTTCGTTATCATGAACCAGTTTATCACAAATGTCTTCAACAGGCTCCTCTTTGATATCATGAATACTTGACAAGTGATGCTGAAGTGATGCTACGGGTATAGTGGGAAGCACAGTTTCCAGTTTGTGCACACTTAAAAAATGTTCTTGGAGCTGTGAAAATAACAAAAATCGAGAACTACAATATGCACAAGAAAAGCCTTCTGGTGGATTTCGGGAGACTGACTGTTGACTCTGGCAGTTAGTTGCATGTGATGTACTAGGTTTTACTGTGCATTTAGATATGTGATCCCGAACCACTGCACTTGAAAAAAGTCCACCACATTTCTCACACAGAACTTTTTCTGGTCCTTCTTTCTTGGTGCACTTCAATAAGTGACGCTTGACATAATCCTTCCTTATGAATCTCTCACCACACCACTGACAAGCAAATGGCCTCTCACCTGTGTGAAGTCGTGTGTGTATGACTTGTGCCCAGCTGTGGTTAAAAGTACGGGGACAATAATCACATATGTACTTGTTTTTCTTATTAAAACAGGGCTTAATGCAGTGATTAATTTTGTTTTTTGTATAACAGACTGGTGCCGCTACCACTGCAGTTGGTGTCTCAATCCTCAAAGGAGTTTTTGTTTTAGTCGAGATCTTTTCGCACTTTTCCGCACCATTGTGTTTTTCTGATGACACAATGCCAAGCCTGTCTTTCCAGCCTCTTCCAACATCATCTACAGTGATTTTTGGAATACATACTTCCAGTCTTCTTCTTTTACCATTGCAATTAGTTTGATGTACTTTCAAATAATCATACCTTGAAAAGCAGCTGTTACAGGATTTACAGCGATATGGTTTCACTTCGTTATGCGACAAAATATGATACCTTAAAGACCGTGGCTTTGTAAAAGTCTTAGTACAGAATTTGCACTTAAGCTCAGATGTATCCGCTTGACTCTGTTTTGCATCCTCCAGACTCTGTTTGCTTATATCATCTGCAGATCCATCATTTGTAACATTTGTCACTTTAGCCAAGGAAACCCTTTCACAAAGAGCTTCATGCTGCAAACACACAGCGCGACTTTTGTATTTGTGGCCGCAGTGCACACATGCACAGGATTGATCACCTTTATGTGTAACAAGGTGCCGTAAAAGAAGAGACTTGTACTTAAATCTCTTTGTACAGTGTGGGCATTTTAACTGAGGCTTTTTGGTGGTACTCGACTTAGGTGGCATTTTCTGGGCACTACAGTTTTCCTGTAAAGGGGTTTGCTTGCATTTTGCCTGATGTAGACTTAGTCTTGAACTTGAAAAGTACTGGCCACATGAGCATGGAATAAGTGACTTCTCTTCATGTTTTTTGTGATGATTTGTCAAGCGTCCGTTATCTCTAAATATCCGTGGACAATGAGAACATTTATATCCTCCTCCTTTTTCGATGTTGCTGTCTAATGTAAAGACAGTTTTTGTTGGAGTTGACAAACAGACACTGCTGTGAGTTTCAAAATACAACTGACTGTAAAACTGTTTTCCACAGTGTGTACAAGAATAGGGTTTTTCTCCAGTGTGTCTCATCATGTGGTGTAACAAGTAGCGCCTGGAAGAGAATTTACAGTGGCAAAATGGACAGTGGTTTGACTTGGATATATGGGTAAGAGAATGTTTTCTTAGAACACGGGCATTCCTAAACATCTTTTTGCATAAAGAGCACTTAAATTCCTTTGAAACACATTGTTCTTTCGCAGCTTGTGACGGTGGCTGTGGATTTATTTGTGACCTTTCTTTGCAGTGAAGTCCTCTATCTTTCCTTATGTGGGTGTCTAGATGCCTGAGGAGATACACAGGATACTGAAATTGAAGAGGGCAGTCTGGGCATTGAAGCATTCCTTTTTCAGTATGTGTGTGCCTGTGCTGGATCAGTTCTCCAATGGTTGGAAGCACCTTTTGGCAAACAGTGCACTGTACCCTCCTCTTGTGCATGTTTTTATGATCATTTAGGTGGTAAGTGGTCTTGAATATCTTCCCACATTCCAGACATTTGTATGCTCTTTCACTTTTGTGTATGTGCTCATGATTCTTCAATTGTTGTGATGAACCAAAATGTTTCCCACAAAATTGACTATTCAGTGAGAGATCCTCATCTTGACTGAAGGGTTCCTCATTATCTTTGCAATTCTGTTTTTTTTTCTGGTTAATTTCTGGTTCACACTCCTTGATGGCCGAATTTCGGTAACTAAATTTTTTACCTGTGAGTCTAAACAACTTGTGTTTCTTCATGTGTCTGTATTTACCAGAGGCATGACGAAAAACTGCTGGGCATTCATTACATTTAAAAAGTTTGGAAGGGCGGTAGACTGTTGAAGGAGGAGAGGCTTGCTTTTTTTGTTCATCTCCACGCAAAGAATATATGTATTTTCTAAAGCAACTTATTTTAATGTGTCTTCCACGGGTTGATGATGAAGCAAAGGTCCTGGTGCATAGAGGACAAGAGTATCTATTACCAACTTTTCTCTTGCCGCCTAAAATTAAATTTTTGACACAATCACGCAAATGTTTATTCCTGTTGCCAAAAGACTTGAATGTCTTTGGGCAAAAAGGGCATTTATGTTCTGCTGTTTTATTCTTTACTTCTTGTTTTTTTTCATGACTCAGTGTAGTTGCGTCATTTCTGGGATTCATTTCCACTAAATCACAGTGCTTGTCCTCCTTTGTTGAAGTAGAGATTGTTGTACCAGATAAAGTACACATCTTAGTCGGGAAGATATCAACAAGCTTCACATAGCATTTGGGAAGATGGGAATCCGTATTGTCCTGTTCAAAGCCTTTTTGTTGCTGTGTTTCAGAACTACTGGTAATGGCATCGGACATTTTATTTTTTTCCTTTACTCTCTTACATCTGTTAGGTGTAGTCTGATGTCGTCGCAGTGCAGAATACTGTCCATAATAACATCCACATCCATTGCACTGATATGGTGTTTTGCCATTATGAGTCCTCATATGCCTGATATATTGAAAAAGGTTAGGAAAACTGGTGTGGCAGTCCTTGCATCTGCGTTTCACATGAGGTTCCTTCTGGCCAAAGGTAATGTTGGAAGAAAACTGAGGACTTTTATTAGCGCTACAGAACACATGATTTTCTGCTTCATTTTGGCTAACAAGAAAAAGACTGCAAACTTTGCAAAACTGAAAACTGTGTGGTAAATGCAGGTTATTTCGATGCTCAATGAGACTATCAATATCGTGGGTTGTGTATTGGCAAGCACCACATCTATATTGGGTAGGCCTTGCATTTGCCGACATCAAGGGGTTGAATATCACAACAGGTTGCCAACGTTTTCTCATTTTTTCACAAGATTTTAGTGGATGCGTTGGGTCATGATACAGCATATTCTCTGTAGAGTCAAACTCAGCTTCACTATTATCGGCATCTCCTTCGGGTCTTTCAGGTTTTTGAGGCAGTTGGTCCAGAGATTGTGGTTGGGGTACTGAAGAGAGTAATTTTACATTTTCTTTATTAATTTCCCTTTCATTTTGAAAAAGTGGGTGTTTTGGGCTCTGATTTGGTGCCTTTTGCTGATCCAGGAGGCAGGAATTCTTTATATTTTTAGAATTTTCTTCAATTTCACTTTGAGGTTGTATGTTGTTAGAATGGCCTGACTCTTCCTGGCCTTGAGAGGCAGATGCATTTGCTTTTTCACCAGTTTCTCCATCAAAACTTGTCTGTTGAAAGGCCAGTGCACTTTGATGTAGTGACTGATGTTGATCAGATAAAAAAGATGCATTTGCACCTTCAGTATTATATTCAATTGACATACTTTGAGTCTGCAGGCATAAAGCTCTTTGTGACTGTGGTTGATCTAAAGGATAGAGGACCCCACCACTTTGTGGCTTCAGTTTCACTGAAGATTGATTGGGAGACTGTAGTTTCTCTGAAGAAATAGGTGCATTTGCATTTTCACCACCATCTTCACTTACACTTTGAGGCAGTACTTGCTGAAATGCATCTCCCAATTGTTTCTGATGTGGCAAGGTTGAAGCAATCCCATTTCTATCAATATCATTACCGCAATTCTGTTTTTTTGGTAGTGACAGCTGTTCATCTTGGGAAGAGGGTGTAGTCTTTTCACCAGGCTCTTCACCATGACTTCGTTTTTTTGTTAGTGACAGCTGTTCATCTTGGGAAGAGGGTGTAGTCTTTTCACCAGGCTCTACACGATGACTTAGTTGTGGTGGTGCTTCTAAATCTTCACCTGATGACAAGCACTGGTCTGGATAAGAAGATATACAGGCAATCTCACTGATATCTGATTTACTTACACAATTGGGTTGCAGGACCATGGGCCTTTGATTCTGACATTCTTCATAGGTGGAAGTGAATGGGAAAGGACTTTTTGTATTGGTCATAGAGTCTTTTAGAATGTTTGAAGTGTCCAAACAAGAATCTGGGCCAATTAGCTCTCCTGTTACTGCAGGGTCACCACTTTGTGGATCTGTAGAGTTGGTGATATAGGTCCTATCTTCCACTTGTAAACATCCTGGTGGATCGGTTAGACTTTGCAGATCTTGGTCAAAGGTACCAGTTGAAAGATTATCACCAAGGACATTTGAATCACTCTCATCTTTGTTTGGGGTGAGAGTTGTTAGTAGGTTTTCGGCAGATTTAGAGGAATTATGTGACTCTAAGCAAGTTTCTGAGTTTCTCTCACGACACTGGCCTTTTTGGTCACAGATATTTATTTCTTGACCATCACTCATCAAGGTGGAGCTATTAAATGTATTGTATTGAGGTCCACTTTCTTTAAACTTGTAGTTGTATAAGTGCACTGAGTTCAAATCACAGCTTCCTTTTACCTTTGACTCCTCTGGAGAGCCTTGTGATTCAAGATGTAGAGGCATTTTGGATACAAATTTGCCTTCTTGGCATTCACTATGCATATTTCCAGGCAGTGAATTGTGTTCATCAAAACTTTGGATTGACAAAAGATTTAGATCTTTATATGTGGTCACAGGTGTTGCGATGACATTCTCCTGCATGCTGCCTGAATACTCCATTAGTTTTTCAAATGTTATATTATCAATGCAACTCCTTAATTCTTTTCTGGGCTGTTCTTGACTCTCACTTGCTATAGCTGTCACAATGCTGACAGAGTTAGAAAGTTGATTGCTTTTTGTGCAAGATTCATACTTTTCTGGTCCCCCCAAGTGATCTTGCGGACAACTGATTCTGCTTTCTTCTGCTTTCATGTTTGCTGGCTTCGAGATATTTGCAGTAGTACAGGTGTCCGACATTTCAGGACTCAAATCCTCAGTTGTAAAAGATGTTCCTGAATGAAGGAAATTCCATTCAGAAGAGTCCTGTTTAGTACCAAGTTCTGCTTTACACTTTAGAACTGAATTACTTGCCAGGAATTTCCAAGAAGCTCTTGTTTCACCAATATCTGCATCTGAGCAGCTACTTATATCAGAATAGTCTTCTAGAAATGGTGCAGTGAGCAATTCACAGTCTTGCTTAAGTTCTTGAAAATCTGGAGCAAAAGGTGTTGGAAAGTCCAGGATATTGCCATTTCCAGTACTTGACAAGTAATGTTTTTCTACTTGTTCTCCATGAACTTGCCAGGGCATTTCTCCATAGTGTTTTTGATAAACACAATCTGAACCTGAATTTTCTGTACTGGGATTTAGAAAGTAGTTTGTACTTGAGGCAGGAGAGTTATGTGATGCCACTGGGTCAGTGAAGTCATGGTGCTGTATGCAGGTCTCTAAATTATCCGAATCAGATGTCCGTGTCAAAGTGCCTGAATTAGAAGATGCAGATGGGAAGTTTTGTAAATATGAATCCCACCCACGTGCCATTCTTTTCATGAAGGTTGGACTTTGTGTTATCCAGTTCTGAAAATAAACAAAAAAGCATTGCATTGAAATAAACCAATATCATACTTTTTCTTTAAACACAATCATAAACTAGTAAGCTGCTTATTAGGCCTGGACAATGTCTCAACATTTCAATAAATATCAATATATTTCTAAACGAGATCTAGCATAGGACAATATCGTTTGTATCAATATAGTAACAAATCTGTACATGGGGCGCAAGGTCACACCCATTTCTTCTTCTAAACTTCTTCGTCACTTGGAGACCAAGCATTCTGCATTAACAAATAAGTGTGATGTTACGAGGACACGGCTAATGATGTTGCATACACAGTCCCTTAACGTTTTATAAAATACCAGTTTTTATACCAGTAGTATCATTTTATTTAGTTGCATTTATCTGCCATACCTCAAAGGTTGGTCCATGAAATCATTTTCAGACATTTAACTGGTCCGTGGCACAAAAAAGGTTGGGGACCGCAGCTCTAGGGGTAAACCAAATTTAGTCACATAAAAGTATCAATATATTGAGTATAGCCATTCAGCTAAAAAAGATAGAGATATAACTTTTAGTCCATATCGCAAAGCCCTACTACTTATGTAGATCACTCAGCCATAATAACATGGTCACCTGAATAACATTGGGTAGGTCGCCCTTTTACTGTCCTCATTTAGGTCTGTTCTGCAAAAAAACTGCAATTCACTGTTTTCCCAATTATGACCAGACTTAAATTCTTCCACATTTTTTTTTAAAACATCCTTTTTTTTAAACAAAGAAAGCGCAGAAAAGGGAAAATGAAGACAAGTAAAGCAGTGAAGGTACTACTCCAGGCAGCTAAAACACAGTAATCTGAAATCTTAATAACATGAAAGCACTGCAGCTCAACCAGAAGCCAAGAACGTATGAATCAAATTTGTGGTTTAAAAATTTAAACATACATTTTGAATTAATGTTTTAATCTTCCTAGTTCTAAATTAAAACCAGTGGATTGCCCTACAATGTCCCAAAGTGTTCAAACATATGAAACAAGTAGATACCCCTCACTCTTGCTAAATGAGTCATGGAGTAGATTATTATGGCGGAAAACTTGGCTGCAGACACAACAACTCGTTTGGAACCAGTACAAAACTCAAAAGACAGTGGAATAAACTGTAAGATACTCATGTCTAACAAGAAGACAAAATACACTATTTCACAGAATTTTCCAAGGCTGTGAGGCCTCTACCATGGCAGCAGGGAAAGCTAGGTTCGGTCAGCATATACTCACACTAGATTTTGGCACACAGAAGGGTTTGAAATGTTATTGCAAAGTTTAGGCTCAGTTTGAAAACCATACATGTGGAAATTGCACCATTCAACTATGTGGTGGTGTGATGTCTACAATATAGCTAGATAACTAGATAGAACTTTATTAATCCTTCTGGAGTTCGCTTCGGAAAATTTAGAAGCAAGATTACTTTCCCGCACAATGCCTACTTGTCCAGCCCTTCGAGTTAAATCATACGTATCAAACTGCAACAAACAGCAATCCTCTGCGAGATTTAGGGTTTGATGCCTCCTACCCCTCACAAAAGATTGACTGTACTGTGCCCAAGCGCGTTTACCCACTGAATTCCAGATGTCCATTGTGAGTGCAATGGCTCCAAGCCTGGGCACAGAGCACTTCCCTGCTACAGTGTGGTTGGAAGTGGTGGGCCGAAGTATCGTTAAGTACATCTCCTGCTGCCTCTGCAAAAATCTACAAATCACCACCAATCAATAAATCTAGACGCTGGCGAGAGCTGACATTTGAGAGGGTTGACTATTTTGAATATAGTTCACAAAGCAGCCGATGCAGTAGTGTGTGTGTGCACTCCAATCAAAATACGCCCAATTCCACATGCATATCACAGTCAGATGCTTCTGCAAATATTTGGTAGATCACGTGTCTGACCGTCAGTACTTATAGAATGATAACGTTGTGTTGACAACGGTGCGTATAGGCAAAACAAACAAACAAAAAAACCCTAGAAGCTGCATTGCAGTCCCCCTTGCCCAACTCACTACATGTGACCAATACTGCACACATGGAATCTCATTAGTAGTGCTTTTTGCAGACCTTTGACCAGTTCAAAACATTTAAGCTAAACGCTGATACTTTTAATACATGACAAATAAACTTTCACTAAGAGGACAGCAACAATGGCTCCATACCCACATGCAACCAGACTGAACACCTGGTTCACTGCTGAATGATACCCCACTGAATATTTTTGCCATGTACCAGGAGTTAATCAACTACTAATTAACTACTTCCTAAGGCTATATAACATGTTATCTTATATCTGTTATTTTCAGTTATACTTGCCATCCTTCTTGCAGATCTCTCTCTAAGGCACAACACAAACTGTATAGAGACAACATAAAATGATACAGAGACCAGTCATGGCTAAGTACCTACAGATACAGATCACCAACAAACAACAAGCATACAACAATGAATATCTGCCATGTTGTTTCTTAAAGAGGTGAGGGTGTGATCCTCAGCGGTCTGCTGTATGGCTTCAACTATGACCAGTAAGGACATCCCAAGCTTCAGTGTAGTTTTAAAAGTTAAGTTGGATAACTACCTCAACGTTTTCCCTTGTGCAAATAAGGCCTTATGTCTGTGTTGTTGTGGTTTTAGATGTATGTTGGAATGGGCAGAAGAGACCGTGTGTTTTGCTCCTTGGCCAAATGCTACAAAATTCTAGGTCTAATTTAAACAGATACTGAACGGAGCAACATTTACAAACCTGTCAAGCTAAAGATAAATTAAAAACAGGAAACCTGAAATGTTTAAATGTTAAATGTTTGCATGCTGTACTTAATGTTAGGTTTGCTATTCCTCAGGGTTCTGATTTAATGGGCACATTGAAGAAAATGTTTGCATGCTGTACTTAATGTTATATTGTATCTTAATGAATATTGTTTTATACATACCCGATACATTTCCATGTTACAAACACTATAAAAATTATTTTTGTGCATTATATTGTGTGTACACAATTTAACAGTGTTAAATCTTCATTTGTCTCTGTCTGCAACTAGTTAAAATATATCAACCTTTATTGCAACTTTCTTGGCGGCAACATCACCCAGGTTTGCAACAAAATTATTATTTTTTTAAACAACTCTGAAGTTATTAAACTTATATCAAGATTATGGGTACATGCATATCCCTAAGATATAGGAACTCTTGAGCAATAATTTGTAGTGTTGGAAATTCTAGAGCATCTGTGTTCTCTTTGGTCTTAAAACTTAGTTCTCCAATTTTGTGAATGATGTTGCATGTTGTATGCATCCCGTTTGGCATTTTTGATAAAACAATTTGTTCAATTTATTTACCTCACCTTGCTCTATTGTGAAGAAAACATTTGGAACAGAATGGTCATCTAATCTGTATCAAACTGTATATATTTATTTTTTAAAGCTTTGTAGGAAGAAAACGTTAAACAAAGTTGGAGGATGGAAACAATCAACCAAAGTATCCCAACCAAGGTGGGGAGCTGATTGGTACATTTTATGTAAGTCAAGTCAAGTCACAAGTCAGTTGTGTACCTACTTGTGCTGATGTGTTTCACGATACGTTTGAGGTTGACAAATTCATGCACCACATAAAACAGCACAAAAAACTGGATAGTACACACAAATGTAGAAGGCAGTAATAATATCAAGTCTCCCAACTGCCGAAATTCGAATACAGCACAAAAGTAACAGTTTGAATTTACATTAAAGATAAATCACATAAGTACAGTAACTAATCACACTAGTTATACTCGCGCAAGTCTAAACTTTTTTTTTACAGTTGGTGGTGTGACGATTATAAAAATGTATTGGTTTCACCAACTAAATGGAAAAGGTAAAATGAATGACAGCCTTTTAGCATTTATACCAAATCATTACATTACGAATCCGTCGGACAAGTTAAGTTTTTCCCCCTGCCTTTATACCATATTTCAATTCAAGCCACATTAGAATGATAAGTAGTATGTCATAGTAAACGTTTCATGTTAGCTCCTTTTTCTGCTATACTTAAGAACAGACTTGGCAGAAAAGACCATTTTGAGGCTTAAAAAAGTAATTCAACCATGGTGGAAGTAGGGCTAGACGCTAAACGGGCTAACAATGATGTTATCAGCTAATGGGTTCTCTGGTGCTGATCTGCAGTGGAACCTTACCGTACTCCGTGTTCCTCTCCTCTGCTGAATCGGCTACATTATCAGTGTAGAACTGAACAATCGTGGTTAAGGCAAGAGTTACGTTAACGCCAGTAATTGCGACGACGTGGCGAAAGCAGTTGTCCTTCGTGCCGTTGTCTTCTGTCTTCCGTCTTCCCTGGGGAAACCGAAGGAAACCCCTCAATTTCGCTGTCTTCTGTTCAGTTCTGTCTAGTCCACTTTAGTGCTGGTTTATGACGAAATAAACTTCAGCTCAACTGCTCCGTGACTTCAGCGACAGTCATTTCAGATTCACCCCATTATCTTTGTCTGCACAGTCTGGAAACGTGGCTGAGTTCCATCGTTGCTTGCTTATACAACAGCCTGATTATAACCAATAACAAGGTGCGGAGTCTTGAGCATTAAGCCCGCCCCCAACATTGTATGGTTGTCACTGAAACACACTTGCAGGGGCAGCAGCTCGTGTCTTTCCGGGAAACTGCGGCGGTTCCCTCTTTGCAGCTGCTCCTGTAGTCCCCTGTGCTAGGGTTCACAGTCTTTGTTCTCTCCTCTAACAGTTGCCGGACTGTCGGTAGAGTCTTCATTGGGTTTCCAGTGTTCTAATGTACAAGTTCAGTACCACCCCACCAACCCTTCTTCTATACAGTCAACGTTTCTGGGCGGTCAGTGCAGTACTGAGTCTGCCTCTAAAGGGTTAATAAGCTGTTTCCAACCATTTTGTCTGCAAGGCTTGTTACAAAATGGTGCCACGTCCTTGTGGTGTGCTATGACAACCCTCACACTGAGGAGGGACCAGTTACCAGGGGCATACAGACATGCAGAGGAGTAGAAAAATCCTCAAACCCACATTTATTTTGAAGTGAAGAGAAAGGTAACAGACAACATACCTTATCCTTTCTAAGCACTTACTCTGAATCTTACAGTCTCTGACATACACCCATGGATTTTATTTTGCATTCACTTCCAGTTTAGGTAAATTAAAATGGCCAGGTATCACAGTGAATCAATTTATTCTTTAGTTTAAAAAAATCCCTCAATTGATCTTGTTAATCTAGAGAACACTAAAACCTACAGGTGCAGGGTAATATTGGACTAGATATGCAAGTGGTTAGCACCATTTCCTTGCAGCAAGAAGATGAACGGTTCTTATCTATGTATTTTCTTATGGATGTACAAGTTCTTTAAGCTACAATGGCTTCCTCTCAATTCACATTGTATGGTTGTCACTGAAACACACTGGTGGGTGCAACAGCTCGAGTCTTTCCAGGCAACTGTGGCGGTTCCCTCCTTGCAGCTGTTCCTGTAGTCCCCTGTGCTAGGGTTGACAGGCTTTGTTCTCTCTAACAGTTGCCGGACTGCCGGTGGAGTCTTCATTGGGTTTCCAGTGTTCTAATGTACATGTTCAGTACCACCCGACAAAATCTTCTTCTATATAATCAACATTTTTGGGCGGTCAGTGCAGTACTGAGTCTGCCTCTAAAGGGTTAATAAGCTGTATCCAACCAATTTGTCTGCAAGGCTTGTTACAAAATGGTGCCACGTCCTTGTGGTGTGCTATGACAACCCTCACACTGAGGAGGGACCAGTTATCAGGGGCATGCAGACGTGCAGAGGAGGAGAAAAATCCTCAAACCCACATTTATTCTTAAGTGAACAGAAACCTAACAGACAACATACCTTATACTTTCTAAGATGGCAAATACTTACTCTGAATCTTACAGTCTCTGACATACACCCATGGATTTTATTTTGCATTCACTTCCAGTTTAGGTAAATTAAAATGGCCAGGTATCACAGTGAATCAATTTATTCTTTAGTTTAAAAAAATCCCTCAATTGATCTTGTTAATCTAGAGAACACTAAAACCTACAGGTGCAGGGTAATATTGGACTAGATATGCAAGTGGTTAGCACCATTTCCTTGCAGCAAGAAGATGAACGGTTCTTATCTATGTATTTTCTTATGGATGTACAAGTTCTTTAAGCTACAATGGCTTCCTCTCAATTCACATTGTATGGTTGTCACTGAAACACACTGGTGGGTGCAACAGCTCGAGTCTTTCCAGGCAACTGTGGCGGTTCCCTCCTTGCAGCTGTTCCTGTAGTCCCCTGTGCTAGGGTTGACAGGCTTTGTTCTCTCTAACAGTTGCCGGACTGCCGGTGGAGTCTTCATTGGGTTTCCAGTGTTCTAATGTACATGTTCAGTACCACCCGACAAAATCTTCTTCTATATAATCAACATTTTTGGGCGGTCAGTGCAGTACTGAGTCTGCCTCTAAAGGGTTAATAAGCTGTATCCAACCAATTTGTCTGCAAGGCTTGTTACAAAATGGTGCCACATCCTTGTGGTGTGCTATGACAACCATCATCCCAAGGAGGCACCAGTTATCAGGGGTATGCAGAGGAGGAGAAAAATCCTCAAACCCACATTTGTTCTGAAGTGAACAGAAATGTAACAGACAGCATACCTTATCCTGTCTAAGCTGTCAACCCATATTCAATTAAGTATGTAAGACAAACTATGGTGAGTTGCCACCTAGTAACTTGAAGGACTTAAAATTATGTGTTTCATTAGGTCTTATAGAACCGAAAACCAGCTGGGCAAAAGACCAACCCTTACAATCTAAGGCAGGCTGTCAATGTCAATGGCCAAACAATGTCATTCTTTTAAGCATTTTAATGGCACTAGCACAACACTGCATCACTTAAGCAACAATGTAACCAATAATAAAAAGAACCCCAAAGATGTACGGTATATTAAGTAAAACATATTTGTAAATAAACAACAACAGGGCAGAATGATTGACAGATTTTATGAGTAGTTCAAACATTTAAAACAAAAGTACTTGTGTTTGTTATTTTCTCAAGCTTAGTTCATCGCCTGTGCTTAGTTCGAAATTATCAATAGACTATTTTTCTTCCTGTGAGAAGGGCACTGTAAAAAAAGCAAGGTAAAATGACAATTACAAACATTTCATTTTCATCTATACAGTAATTCAAATGTTTGCATACAAATGGATTAAAACGTGGAAGATTGTTTTTCAATGACATGATGGGTAGTAGTTACCCATTTTTTTCCGAAGCATGAGAGGCCTGGTGCTGAAAAAATATCTCCAAGCAAGAGAATGTCTCAGTGCACTCAGTACATTCATACAAAGTATCCGATACATTACTTTGATCCCTTTGCTGATGGTCCAGACATTTCTCCTCTGTGTTCTCAGTTTGTACTTTTTCTGTTACAGAATTTTGACTTTTCACCATAGTATCACATTGAGAAGTTTGTACAGAACCACAAACATCTTCATTGCTTAGGTGACTTTGAGAGTGCTCAAGAGATGAAGAATTGTCCAACTGTGCTGAAGATTTAGAACGGGGCACCTTTTTATGATGGCGAAAGTGCCTTTGGTACACACTCAATAGTCCAAATACTCTCCCACATTCCTGACAGTTGTAGCTCGATCGCTCTGTGTTTATTTCAGTTGGCTTCTCTTCAGGCGATGTTTTCTGCTCAGTATGAGCTGATACATTTTTGGTTTTCTCATCTTGAGATCTTGGGTTTTCATCACCATTGAGGGAAATGAGAATGGGTCCACTTCTTGGAGCTATATACAAAAGCTTTAACCCCGGTTTCTTTTCTAACTCAGTTTTGTGGTACGTGACAACATGTCGTCTCATATCACAGCGTTGAGGAAAATGTCTGCCACAAAACACGCATGCGTGCATGGTACCTTTATGGAATCTCATATGCCTAGATAAACTACTAGAATGATTAAAGACACGGTGACAATGCTTACAAGGATGAAGCTTGCCATTTTGAGTATTTCTTCTCCGTCTAATTTTGGGCAACAATTTGCGCTTAACATTCTTTTCAGATTCTTCATTTAATTGGTCAATTTCCTCCTGTGTTTGATGTGTAAAATGATGCTCCTTCAGATCTGACAATTTATGAAAACGATCTCCACATAAACCACATCTGTATGGTGTAAAAGAGTTTTCCTTATCCATCTTATTATTACTATCTCTAAGGGACAATTTACTATCCCCATTCTCCCCATTCTTGGGTTCAACAGATGTGCCATTGCTAATGCAGTTTTTAAATGGACTTTCTGGGTGTTTAGAGTTGTCATTAATTTCTATTTTGGATGCAAAGTTAGTGATGAGTTCTTTGCCTTGGCAATGATACAATGAATGAGCTTGAAAATCCGACATCCAGAAAAAAAACAGTTTGCACTTTTTGCAAGAATATGATTTTTCAAGTCTTTTTTCATCATTTTTTTTTAAATGAGGCAGAGATGTAACACAGCATTCAGGGATTTCTTTTTGGTGTGTAATGAGTAAATCCACTTTAAGGAACCGCTTACCACAAAAGCCACAGCAGCAAAAACTTTCATTGTTGTGATCTTGGAGGTGTTTCTTAAGTTCCTCACCACCTTCAAAGATCTTACAACACAAAGTACATTTGTAACCTCGTTCAGTGTTTCGGTACTGCTGATGGTGATGTAGACTCCGCACGCTGGTAAATGATTTACCACATTTTTCACAATAGTAACAGCTCTGTTGACACTTGTCAAGTGTCAAGTCAGAAGGACTTGGTGTGAAGTCTGGTATACAGGGCTGTGGCCTTGGGTTTGAAGTCACTGGTTTAACAGGAAATGGCAAATGTGAAGGAAGGACTCCAGGAGATGCAGGTCTAAGGTTTAAATGTGACTGTGTAGAGTCATTCACAACTAGGGTGCCATTTTCCTGAAGTATATATTCCCGAGGGACTTCAAATCCATTAGATGAGCCATCAAAGGCAAATGACTCTAAAGGTCCATGAACAGCCATGTGAGAAACCACACTACTATACTGTTTGAACCCATCACCACACACGGTGCAGATGAAGGAACATGTTTCTCCACCTGGCTGTGCTGAGGCAATGTTGTTTGCTAATTTCTGCTTTTCCATGTTTAATTTTTCCATGCGTAGAGGGCATTACTTTTCAGGAAATCCAAGTCCATCTAAAACTTTATCCAGACTCTCCGTGTAGATATCCTATTCCGTGTATGTTCACTATATCACCATCTATGGAGAAAACAGTAAAAATAATTACAACAGTGGAACAAATGCTCAGCATACACATTGGCTGTAGTCAAGCAAGTAAATGTCTGACATATTTATCAAACCCAGTATCTTCCATGAGATTGCAAGATAGAAAAAAAACATTCTGATTTTACTTTCCACTGCTCCAGAGTCAGCTGACAATGTTTCAAGAGGACATGTGCATCCATTCCAAACAATGGGGTACAGGATTGTTATGTACAGGACAAACTTTCAAACACTATATTTTCAAAATGTGTTAAGAATCTTACTGTAGTTAATGGTACTCTTACCATAATTAATTGTAAGATCTTTGGCTGCAATTGTTAAATGAAGACCGCAGACAACCTTGGATATTATAGTTGGAAGTGGTTCCTCTGGTTTCTACCAATCCTGAGCTGGTTAAACAGTACTAATCCATTAAATGTTTCTATGTGTTTTCAAAAGAGCTTCATCAACACCGTCGCCTCATCCCCAACACCTTTGCTTTGAAAACTTTATTGAATGGAGAAATTACTGATGGATAAAGCAACTACCTTGTGTCTTGTTGATGGTTCCAATCCTTCAGTATAGAATGACATGGAGCCATCTTCTACAACTGTCTTCTACCACGCCACCTTAGAAACAGAGTTCGGTTATTTGTGAACCAGCAAACTCTCTTACAGAGCTGCTTGGGTTAATATTAGTGATCCACCCAAATAACAATTCTTGGCTGAAACCGAAAATGAGGAAATCAAGGCCAAAACCGAAACACCGAAAGAGATTATGGCAATAATACCATTGCATTTATGGCTGACTGTATACTAAACCTCAGTAAGATCAAGGCACTTCAATTGCAAGTCATCAACTGATAGGTAGGCTTTTCTGTTGTCTTCTTATGTGACTATCATTATTATTTGAGGCACTTTCTTGCAGGATCTCACAGAACATTTCAGACAACGAGGGTGACTGACCCTCATCTGGCACACTGCTCTCCTTCTGTGCTGTGCACTTCTCTGTCTCCAAACGGGTTTTCCGAGTCCATCGCGGCCCGAATCATTTCTTGTGCATAATGATCTTTATTGCAACTTAAGTACAGTCCTGATGAGTGCAGGGGATCCGAATAGATCTCAGTGAAACGTGCTGACATGACTTTACCTTTATATGGTAATGTGCAGCAGTGTGCTTTACATGGCACTGTTAAACAGTGTCAGAAGGTCAGTTGGCTGCAGGTAAATTGGCAGAGTGCACTTTAGTGTTTTTCTTTTGTACACATGCACAGTAAGCGTGAGTGATGGTTGTAACAGCAGCCAGGTTACTGATTGTTTGTAATAAAGGTTCTGGAAAGCACCAAGGTGCGTTACTGTTGGAGGAGCATTAAAATGTTACAATACATTGTTTGAGACAGCCCCCTCCAATTCAAGCTGCACAATGTTTTTACCGCATGTTGCAGTCTGACTTACCAGTCATTTGTAAAAACACCCGTAAAAGGATGTGGAAAGATTAGAGGGTGTAGTGGTTAAGCATGCACGAGACTTCATGGGATTTGTTTAGGTCATGCACATTAAAAGTTTGAGTTGAGTTCTGTTCACACACACATAACCTGCAGCAGTTATAATTACTTTTCAACCAAATGAGTTAATACGGGATCCAAACATGGGCACAGATGGCACTAGGGACAGGCGGGATATGGCCCCTCAGATTCATAGTGTCCTATTATAAGCTCTTTTGATCCACGTATTGCCACCATCACCACGTACCATTGCCACACTCAAATAAAATAAACAGAAGCTTAGGGGCCTAAACAAACTGCACAGAAAAAAGTAAACACAAAAACTAGGGATGCACTGAATTTTTGGCCACCGAAAACTCTCGCCTGAAAATGGCACTCAAGTGCATTTTTGGTTTTCGTCCGAAAGACTTATCACTGAAACAACATGGCAGAAACGGGGAGTTATAGACAGATAGCACTTTATTAATCCCTCGGGAATTTAATGATGGCGTAAGCAAAAACCGGGGCAGGCATGGGCTTGTTGGATATCCAAGATTTTCTTTTTGACTAGGCAAAACTGCAATAGAGATATCTGCAATACATATCCAGCTTAGTGTTTAAAATTTAAAAAGGCTTGCCATAAGTACCAACATGTCTGCAGTGTGGATGTATTTAAATATATCGGAGAAAGACCCACAGATAACGATTTGCAAAATGTCTAATGCTGAAATTTCAAGAGGGGGCGAAAAGTACACTCAGAGTCTGTCAGCACACGTTTCACTGAGATCTATTTGGATCCCCTGCAGTCGTTGGGACTGTACTTGATCCGCGATATAAAGATCATTACTTGAACGCAGGAACAAAGCACTGCACACGAGAAATGATCCAGGCCGCGATGGACATGAGAAAGAGCGCATTGGCCAGATGAGGGGCAGGCACCCTCGTTGTCTGATGTTCTGTGAGATCCTGCAAGAGAGTGCCTCAAATAATAATAGGTGGGCTATTCTGTTCTGACTTCCTATGTGACTATCAGTTACATTTTTATTTCCCTGCTAGACATTTGACAATTAATTATTGACAATTATTACTATTTTTTAATTAATTTACGCAATTGCAGTGCCTTGATTTCATTGAGGTTTAGCACACAGTCATAGCCATAAATGCATTGTAAATATTATACAGTCGTAGCCATAAATGCATTGTAAATATTATAATATATTGTAATTATAATAATTTCTTTCAGTGTTTTGGTTTTCGGCCTTGGTTTCCTCATTTTTAGGTTGCTGCATCACTAACAAAAACACCACCTAGTTGCTAAGTCTTATGCATATACACAGAATCATAACCGCGAAAGGAAATGATCATGCATTAAAAAATGAAATATGTGACTTTAGTTAAAAAATGTTTACAATTCAATGAATAGAAGTATGGTCTTATCTAAACTGGTATTCCTTAAACCCATTATCCCCAACAACAAATGTACACTGCCTATACAACCAAATGAACCAAAAGAGGCGTATATGGGGCGGAGCATGCTGTGCTTCATTAACATATAAAGGTAAAGGCACAGAAACCTCCCCGCAGAACTGTACTGCTAAACGTTTGGATATTTGAATTAACGCTAGGTCTAGATTTCATTCCCACGTCAAGTAACCATATTAATTTGCATGAAAGTATTATTATAAGATGCTAAAAATGGATTCTATCCAAGCAGAACAAATATTATTGTAAGCCTACTCCTGCTTCAAACTGATGACATTGTTGACCTACTTTAATAGTGTCCATGAGAGCCATGAGAAGAAAAACAAATTAAACTCGCAGATCGCTGATCAGCTGGTTGTAGTCGAAACGCATTATACTGCAGGATCAGTTCACGTTTTCGAGTACGAGTATTTTAATCGGTCCCGACATACAATCACAGGTTATACCATGGAAAGCGTTTTCGAAATTGTTAGTTTAATTTATAATAGTTAAAAAACATGCTACTGCGGATATGTGCTACAACTCAATCGTTAAAAAAATGATTTAGACAACTGGAACGAAAAAAAAATCGACAATTTATTCGACAGCGACTAGTTACCTCGTTTGTTAAATATAGTCATGGGAAATGTGCAACCCGCGTCTCTAGTTAGGATTACAGGTTGAAAAAGACTGTATTGTGTTTGAGACTGAATGTGTTTGAAAACATCAATAGGACGTTCACTGAGATTATCGCTGCACAGTTACGAGTAGCTAGTTAGGCTAGTGTATAGTTAATCCAACGACGAAATTGTCACCGCAAGCACCAGTGAGGGACATTAAGAAAACACAATACAATAAACAAAGACAGGGTAGCCCATAAACCGTCTATTAACACGGTAAAACTGCGAGGAATCGCAGCAATTTAAAAAATAAAGGCAACGATAGCTGCGCTTAGCTAAAGCTAGCAGCACGGGGGGAGTGTATGTATAAAATAATTAAGCAATTGTGTTGTTAACCTGCTAGCATGAATAGTAAATTATGAAGATACTCACCACAAATTATATTACATATTGCGACATTTTAAATTCCCAAGAGAGCGTAATCCTCTGAAATGGAGCAAAAGAATGGCTACTGCTGTAGGCCGCGGCCCGACTACTTCAAAACGTACGTCTGTTATGACATCATGACGCACACTGTTTACGTCCACGTCTTAGAAAAGACTATTACTTACAGCTGCTTTTCTTCCTTCAGCTACTCTCCATATTTGCGTTCATTAACGCAAGATACATTAACAAGATACCATGACTGATACACCAACCATCCATTTGTTGTCTTTTACTTTGTGCTTGAATCCTTTCTTGTCCCCTTCTGTTTCACCATGTGATCACGATTTATTTTCCCCACGTGTCTAAATTATTATTTTTCTGTTGTACATTATAATGTACAGCAGAATAACGTGGCATGAACTACACGAAATAAATAGTTTAAGGATTGTTTCATATATTGTTATATTAATTTTAAAGACCACAAAAGATCTAGAAAAAAATTTGAGTATTCATTTGTGATAACACTTATTGCCACAAGATGGGGCATCTTCCACGTGCCATTTCTTATTCACATTCAGCACGCATGCATGCTGCCTCTTGTTGTCCTGAAATAAAAATATATGTTAAGCAATATTCGTAAATATTAATAGCTTTAACTTTTATTAAACTAAGTTTTCCTGCTGTGATGAATATGTAATGATCTAAATATATCACACATTCTTCTGGAAATGAATGTTTCTTTAAAGTCCATTGACTTTCAGAGACTTTAACAAATATAAAAAAACCAAAGCTTTATTATCTTCCACCGCTTCCACGATGCTTACAATATGTGACCAGTTAGCTTACATGTAGAATAAAATAAATTAGAATGACTTCTGCTGTCATCACCATATACAGTGTATACATATGCATTCACCATGTGCCTGTTCTAGTGTTTGTGAACATTTCCTGTGCATGAAGCTGAAGTCCTGTTTTACAATTTCTGCAGGTATACGCCTGCACCCTTCAGGAAGTGCAGGTTATCCTATAGCATAGCCATGTTTCTGCTATTAGAAACCTTGTGGTACTGTGAGAATTTATTAGTCAAGCAGAGACAACTGCAGTCAGTCCACAAAAGAGGTGTTGAAAAGGGTTCAGTCTGTGTGGACTAGGTGGAGACAAATGTCAAGGGTGATCTGTGACAGAATTATAGCAGTCAGACTGAAATAGAAGGTTAACAAGACAGTAATGAGAACTGCTATGATGGATGAGTTGGAGACAGTAGCTCAGTCTATAAGCCGTTATGTTAAGTCCTTTATTTGTCCCATAATGGGGAAAGTCACATCACAATGAGTGATATGACTTTCAGAGATTGTCTCAGCGTATATTTTTCTGAGTTGGAGTACTCGTCATCATAATCATTATATATAACATCTGATGTATTTATGGTATAGAGAGGGGTTGATAGTAATGGACTCCATCACGTCTTTAAACCTGAAACACAGAAAAGATCTTTACTGGACACATTATATATATATCATTACAGCAATCAAAAGATTTGGTGACATACCTTCCAAAAGAGAGTGAAAGAACCTCCGACCAGCTTATCGTCTGAAACCTTAAGTGTGCAGTTGTATTTGTAGAGAAAGAAGAAGCTTACAACAACACATCACAGTATTGGTACTGTTGAGAAATTTCCATTTTGCAAAACCGGTGTTTTCTCATTATCAAGCAGCAAAAGTTCCATTACTTTTGTCTTTTCAGCCAATGGTAACTTAAGTAATCAGGGACTGTTAAAGCAAACCACATTGCAGGATCCCTGGTTACTGAAGATCAAAACATCAGGTAATTCTAGAGCAGTACAAAACACACCGTAAACAAACCATACTCTGCCCATGTGATCTTACACTTGAGCTTTTTAGTCATGCTAAGCACGGCCTAATTACAGAGTTTACTTTAAAGGTAAACCCAAATTACTACTCAATACTTTCCAAATACTGTTGAAATTATATTGTGAGGCCATTTTAGAAGGAATCAATGTTTTTTTTTTTTTACTTCATAATTTGAAAAAAGTCAAGTTTTTTATACTTGGATGGAAAATATTGTGCTTTTTCTTTCTTTTTTTTTGCTCAACTAGAATATCTCTGCTGAGAAACCATAACCATCTGCTGGGACTTTAAAAAGTGAAAGAGAGAGAACGAGTTTTGACTTTTCAAAAGATGTTTTCTAACACCATGGGTATCAAATCTATTTTACAAATCTATTTTATTACTAGAAAAATGTTTTTCCTTAAAATCCACCCTAAACAAGTTCATACTCTCTTCATGAATTTCTTTTAAACATTTTACTGTTTAGGATCTTGTGCACAAAGACAACATGTAGCTCCAACCATTTTCTTAGGCAGCCCAAAATGGAAAAACCAGACGAAGTGTGCCCTTCACGTTTTGCAAACTGTACCATTAAAAAAGTCTAATTTATTCTGGTCAACAATGATTACTTTAAGTCCTAGAACTATGTGACTTAAAGTGAACCATGTAAAAATGATGTTTAAAATCAGTAGCAAAGAAGAGATAAGAACTTAGGTATAGTAATTCTTGTGACATACTGTTCATTCATGTTCTAAAAACTTGTAATGATATTTTGACCAAGTGAAAAGCAAAAAGCTTTAAATGTGGCCCCAACATATTTTGTATGCTCACACACACATTAGTTTTTCAGATCATTACATTTGAATCTCTATTACTTGCACTGAGAGTGTGTCTAGATACTTTCTTAAAAATGGAAAAACTACTGCTGTCTGGCCTATTTTCTGACTTACTGACATGCCTTGAGCTTTTGATATTTATTTGTGTTAAGATAAAAACATAAACATAACAAACAGTAAAGTCTAAATAAAAGTTTAATGAAAATAATGAGAACAAAAACCATTAATTATAAATGTAACATCACCGTTCTCTCATAACAGATTTAACAAAGATAAAAATATTAAACATTTACATTGTTTACATGATAACAGCTGTTTTATAGAGAGCTTCATATGACAGCGAACAAGTGTTCAGAAATGTTTACTACTGATTTAATGGATTTCTGTTGAGACATGAAAATGGTGTCAAAAATCCTTAAATAGTTTCAGAAATTTACGTGATAGGTCAGGTCTGCTAAACATGATCATGGACTATAATGATGCATAATAAGTATAGAGTTTAGCTGAGCATGGATGTAGTAAATGAGAAGATCACACAAAAAGAGTGAACGTCTGGACCAATTTGTCAAATTAAGCTTTGCAACAAACATTTATAAAGCAGCTGCTACTTTAACTGGAATAATCTGTTCTTGCAGAATAGATTATTCCAGTACAAATATTATTCCAATACAAATAGCTCCTTCAGTTAGTTTACTATCCAGGAAGGTACTCGCTATTGATAAACACAGAGACAACCTACAGCTCATTTTTTTAAAAATTACTGGAGGAAATGTTTTGTACAAAGGAGCATAACATGAACATCTCGTAATTCTAGCGAGGAATGGAGCACACTAACAACGATAGGAGTGCATCGTAAACAAGGGCAGAACTTACATACAGTAACGGACAATGTAGATATACAGATACCACATCTGTCTGCATACAGTACATGTGATTATAAACATGCAAGTTGGTGTAGATGTGTATGGAATACCCAGTACAAGTAGTATGTATCTTATTGTTTTTGATAGTAATATTAATACTTTTTATACTTTTGTATATAAAAAATACATATCACTATTCTCAAAACCAAAGGCATCACACATTGCTTCATTGCCACCATAGTTTAGCAGGGCCTGTTACCCTGCCTTTTTTTTTTTAGAGCTGACTACTAATATCATGCTAATCACAACATGTAAAAGCATCAGGTTAAATCCATGAGTTCAATTTGTGTGTATTAGAAAAACAAGTTTTTACATATTTTGCTACACACAACTGTTCACCTGTATCATTGAGGTTCTCATACCTCAGCATCAGAGACAGACTTCTCTTTACTCCGACTTGTGACCATAGAGTTTGTGTAAGTGTAAGAGCGAGAGACCTCTTCCTGAAAGGCAGACTCCAACACATTCAGGATGGACTTGCGCACTTTTTCTTTGAAGTCTTGTCCCATAAAGACGTAAAGCAGTGGGTTCAGGCAGCTGTTGAGAAAGGCCAGGCTGGTGGCTATAGGGACACCGATGGTGATGATATGGTCCAATAAGTCACTTGAATGGATTGCTGTGTGGTTGACCATCTCAATCAGAGCCATAATGTGATAAGGAGCCCAGCACAGGAAGAAGGTGGTGATGACAGCAGCAATGATCTTAAAGGGACGACTTGAGTGGCTGGCCAGGGTGCGGTTCCTTCTAAGACGATGGATGATCACAGCGTAACAGGAGACAATGACAGTGAAGGGGACAACAAATCCCAGAAGGAAGCGAGTGATGGTCATGGTCTGGTGACGGAACTGTCGCAGCTGGTTCACGGACGGTGTCTCATAGTCATCGGAAAGGGCGAAGTTGTTGAAGCAGTTGATGATGTCTTCATTATGATATGATGGCCCAGTGTCTTTGAAGATGAAATATGGAGCACTGAGAATTAGAGCCAGTATCCAAACACCCAGACTCACAAAGGACGCCTTGCTGACACTCCGGTAGTTCTGGGCCCAGACAGGCCAAACCACAGAAATGCATCTGTCCACGCTGATCACTACCAGGATGTAGACACTGGCAAACATGTTCAAGAAGCTAACAGTGCTATTCAGTTTGCACATGAAGTTGCCAAAGGGCCAGTGAAAGTCCATGGCTGTGTACGTCACGCTGAGCGGCAGGGATGCAGTGAACAGGAAGTCGGCCACAGCAAGGTTAAGGAACCAAACTGTGTTCACTGTTTTCTTCATTTTGAAGCCGGTCACCCAGATGACCACTCCATTCCCGAGCACACCAAGAACAAAGGCCAGGCAGTAAACAATGAGAGACATGATGTTTAGTGACTGTCTCAGCTCAGCGTGCTCATCCTTGTAGTCGTACTCTTCATCATCGTCATAACTACCATTCATTACACTGATATCTGATGTGTTCATGGTATAGAGAGGGTTTGCTGTAATAAACTCCATCATTGTCTTCGAATCTGAAAAACAGTAAAAGTAGAGATGAAAAAAACTACAATTATAGACCTAAAATTATAGATGACATTTACCTTTCCTTTTCATCCCATCATCATTAATTATCATGATGATCGCACGTCACTCTTACAAATTTGAGACTGATTTTTTTTCTTTAAAGAAAAGTGAGGGATTTGACAGAACATGTCTTGAAATGTAATCAAAGAGCAGCAAGACTGACAATCAGACCCTGGGCAACAGTCTTAACACCATTACACCAGTTCAACCAAACCAGCTGAGAGGTCTTTCTCCTGAGATACCCAGTAAAGTATTTGAATTATTCAAAACATTTCTTATGTTCACACTTCCAATAGTTATTACAGTTAAAGTCATACTGGCTTTAAATAAATCACTCTTAGTTGGAATGGTTCAAATAAACTCACAAGACCTGACTTGAATTACACACTCAGTCAGTCAACTAACCACTTACTAAATCACTAACTCTTACTCATTACTGCGCAAGGGATTAAGTCATCGAACAGTGACAAGGTTAGCATTAATGCTAGACAGAAGCAACACACACAGTCATCTTAATACAAATTCTAATCCACACTAACTTTCATCTAAATCGTGTAAATGTGTAGCGGTACCAGATACACACAACGACTAAATTGGTCAATAAAAAAACAGGTGTAAAACGTGTCTGAAAACAACGTCCACCTGTAATTATTCAGTGTATTGTCAAATAGCAAAAAAACAAACAAACAAACAAAAAAAACAACAACAACTTTATTTTCGTTTAGAATAACAAACTCTTAAGAGTCAAATGATTGAAGATGGTTATCGACTAATTTAGTGAGGACACCCCCCCCCCCACGCCCACGCACACACACCTTCACTTAAAAGTCCAGTTCAACATATACATACCGCTGAACATTAGACAGGACAAAGTTTGCTGTGATTTAAATCCACATCAACGCGTGTCATAAAGCGGGCATTTGATGTCCAAAATAGTTTCTTCTCAACTGTCACAGCCACATGAAAACAAACCCCGTCACATAAAAAAACAGTTCTGTGGACTTTATTGTCTTTCTCCCCCGTCTGTGAGGATAATTAACAAAAACGGTTAATTGCTGAAAAAAAAAAGAAGAAAAAGAAAAAGCTTTTTTTCGAGTTTACAAGCAGCCAAAAGAGGATGAAAAGAACCAATTTTTAACTCCATACAAAGAAGCCGGGGGAAAGGACTGAGTCCTGAACCTGGATGACGTTCCTCCAGACACTCATCAGACTCGTTCACAAAAGCAGAAGTTCCTAAGAATAATTTTTTTAAAAAGAAAAAAAATACAATACCTTTACTTGCAGCTGCAGAGTGACGAGGATGCGACTTTCTGCACAACCTCAACTCTGACAAATTCACAGAGAAGTGGGGAGCTCGCAGCCCGGACTCCTTTAAAGTGTGACGTCATGGCTCCCATCAAGGCGGGACCAGAGGCGCCCGTAGAGCTCTCCACAATAAATATAGGTTTGCCTCAATGGCAAACCGACTATATTAATTCATATCCTCCAGTCTTGGGATGTAATACATGTAAAAACATTGGTGTGTAGCAGACGATTACTTTTCATCTGTCTATTTTAAAATACAATAATTTACAGACACAAAAAACCTGTGTAGTTCTTTCTTTGACTCTTTGTCAACAAACATGTCAGTCAATTACAGCAGTAGAATGAACTAGAAACTTTAGATTTTTGTCAGGTTTGTTGTGGCATTAAGCTTCTCTCTACACTTCCTATAACAATGGTTCCCAAGGCCTCTTCTGCAGCCCATTCATTTCACATACAAGAGTATTATCAAGAAAACTAATATTCTCACTGAACTACAGAAATAAAATTGCAAATCAGCGCAATGTCCCTTGACTCTGTTGATCAACAAAGAACAGTGAAATTAAATGATTTGAGTATCTGGCTCAAAAATGACTGAGCTTTTTACTTTAGTCTGGGATGAGAGACGGGGCGGGGGGGGAGTTGAAGCTGCGTTTCCTCTTGTCCACTCATGTTCCTGCTGTGTAATGTGTTTTCCTCAGTTCGGGCTGAGCTCATTCTGGCTTGAGGTTAAACATAATTGCTCTGTGTTGTCCGTTTGAGTTGCCATCAGGAGCCGAAGGTTAGACATTGTGCCATATGTGTGTTCTCTCTAACCTCCCACACAATACACTATGTGTGTTCTCTCTAACCTCCCACACGATACACAAGAAGGTTGTTTTTTTTTGGTTTTTTTTTTGCAGTCAATGACACCTTCCACACACTACCCACTGTACACAATGTGGTTAATCTGCAAACACAAACATGCAAAGTAAACAGAGTTGAAACACTTTTAGAAGTAAAGTCAGCAACAGGGGAAATCCCACAATTTTCCAGCACCATGGTTGTCAGTATCTACACTTTCATTTAAAAAAAAGTAGAGAATAAAAATGAAAAAATGCAAGAGCTATCTTTGGTGAGTTGGAGAAGCACCACAAGTATTGTACTTGTAAATCATTTTTCCCTCAAGCTCAAGACTGAAGTCTCCCACTGACTAGAGAAATCCAAATGAGATGGAATGGTTTGGTTTTTACAACTAGAAATCAGAAAACCATGAAATGTTCATCCTCTGAACAAAGATCAACTCTCCAACTCAAAGGAAAAAAGTGCGCTTTTTGATGCTTTTGCCTTTGCTTTCTACCTGTTGTAAGGCAAGAGCACTTACTGCTCTTCAACAGAGTGGCCCTTAAAGTAAATATGATCACAATTTGACTGTATGCTACTACTAGATATTGGTATGAGTTTCCTTAAACGTCTCTTCCTAAATTCAAAAGTACATAGCTCCAGTATTACAGTAACTTCTATACTTACACTTAAAGAATCCAAGAAACGCACAAATGCATTACAGCAGAGGGAAAAAAGAGAACAAGAGAGACATGGATCAGTGCTGACTGGAGAATGCAAAAATCCATCCCATCTCCCCAGAGAGAAGCCCTACCTTTCTGTGGGGAAGAAATGTAACATCTGAGGTTGACTTCATGGTCATATTTCCACCCACATGGTTCCTCTCCACTGCTGATTTCACTGCCACACTGCTCACACAACTGCATGTGTGCATGTTGTATATTTTTCTGGGTGATTTTTCCATAGAAAATATGCAGAAGTGACTGTTCCAACCCCACAATCCATATAACACGTATTCTGCATTTTCTTCATCATACATGTGAAGTTAAACGTAAAGGCCATTAATAGCAGTCCAAACTTCATTTTAATTGCATGGACCCCTCTCAGGGACAGAACATCTGAATGCAAACGTGACTGAACAGGACTTGAACATATGCTGCAAAGACTGTGGCCAAACCCTTTCATGAATAACAAAAACATCTGGTCTGAACCAACTTGATTCAATTAAATAAATGTCACTTCACAAAACACATCTGGGACATTTGCTGTCATGTTAAATATATGAACATATAAAAGATCTGGCTGCATTATGTTTTACAGACTGGGTTCTCCAAAAAAAGCCCAAAATTTTGACATCAAAAATGGTCATGTCTGCTTCCAATAACATGTGTTTGCCACTCAACCGCAGAGGTAGTGTTGATGGAAATTTGACATCACCGCGGCCACTCCGATAACCACACTAAGGAACATCTTCGTGATGATGGCGGCTTTGATGGTCAGACGTCTTTACACTGACCAAGTCTTGAAGAGATTCGGATTTGAACAGATCAGTGAGTGGGGCTCCAACCTGCCCAACCCTAAAACTGAGTCCCCTGCTGATGCACACACACACACACACCACACAGGAACCCCGTCCTGCCAAAAGTCCAGATGTGAGGGGGAGGAAGAAAGGAGAGAGGGAAATGAGAGCGAGAGAGAGACAGAGAGAGAGAGAGAGTTACATGTGCATGTGGGCCTGAGAACACAAGCTTCGATCGACACCCCACTTTTGAATGTGTGGGCAGGAGGACTCAAATTTTTGTTATCATTTACTCCCTTTCCACCTACTTCTTTCTACTGAAACATGAATATTTATCATTACAAAAATGTTCTCACTGACCATTCTCCTACTCCAGAACCCAAATCTCCCTGACTACGGGAGACGGGAGAGTTGAAAACAAGCTGACCCAGTTCATTTTTTGAAATAGTTGTTGAAAACTACAGCCCCGTTCAAAAGCCAAAGCTAAGACAACATGACTACTGTGTTTCATTTGGACACATCTTTTCGAAATGCAATCTCTGGATTTTATTTTGCTCCTTTTCTAAAATGTCTTTTGTGAAACTCTGTCTGCCTCAAGCTCTGAGAGAACATCCAGGCCGGTGTCTGCAGGGGATATTAATAGCTATCCCAAGGCTATAGTTTGAGGGAAGCCTTCAGAGCCGAGGGCTTGCCAGAGTTCTTGATTTACCAACCAAACGTACAATTATGTGTGCGCCACACAAATACCAATTTGGGTGTGTAAAACAACTAGTGGAGGTTTAAAGAGACTTTAGTTTTAGCCCTCGGTGATATATACGCTATAGGAGCCTGGGGAGAAGGCTGTGATATTGGCTACGGCTGCTGGAGGTGTTAGGGTGGTTGGGGGGTGTCATCCAGAAGATAAAACGTGCATAAGTCTGCGCGTGTGTCTTTGTGTGTGTGACAGTGAAGCACTAATGACATAGTGCAGCTCCCAGCATCACTGTTATCCACAGAGTATTCTTCTCTCACACTGCAAAACACTGTGAGGTGCATTTCTAAATCCACTCTCCTTCTGCAGAGGGGACAGAGGAAGAGTGGGAAACAAACCGAGATTCTCGTCCGCAGTAACGCTGTGCAGGGAGATGCAGAGATTCTGCAATGTGCTGCAGACCTCGAAGGTTTGTTGATCTTGTTGCGGTGTTGCCTGGAAATCAAATCCTGCGTCTCACGGGTGTGGAGAGGTCAGGAATTTTGTTTTTTAACTCACAGCCGGTGCCAGTGGCTTGAGTTCTTATGGCACAGTTGACGGTTGTTTCCATGAAATTCACCACACACAGGGAAAAAAAAAGCTGAACCTCAATAACTTCAACCACTTCCTTACATTCGTCCCTGCTTCAAACCACAGCCGCTGATCCCCCCTCAGCCAACCTACGGGATATGAATAATCTGCCTGGCCTCTGTCTGAGAGCAAACAAGACTGGCAAAGGCTACAAGATCAGTGGTATTTCTGGGTTAGAATATGGGACCGAAAAATATGGGACTTCTAAAACATGTAGAGAATGTCAGCTGGTAAAACAAATGATCATTTAAATGAAGAAAATAATTAAATCAATTACATAAACATATATATATATAATATATATGTATATATACTGTATATATACATATATTTGCATATATAAATATATATATAGAATATATGTATATATATATACACACATATATTTGCATATACATATAAATATATGTATATAAAATAATTTATTATTGTGATTTTTATGGTAAATACCAGCAAATTGTGTTGCAACATCCTCTAACCTAATTTTATGGCTAAAAATACAGTACCATTTGATCTGTTTTTGTCTTAACACAAAGCAGATTTTTTTTTTTTTTTTTAAGAAGAGGTTGACGGTGTGAGTGTGCATTTGTGTGTGTGCACGTGTGTGTGTGCCACACAGTAATGAGGGGGAGAACCTGCCTGTGCTGGATGGGAATGCGATATATTTTTGTCTTAAGTGTATAATGACAGGGTTTGTGCAAATGCACCCTCCCATTTAGATGTTTTCCTGTCTGGTGCTGATAAACACCTAGGCTCATACATGAGTAAAGGAGCGTCGTACCTGTGTGTCTCCACACAGTCACACTGACTCAGCAGTGGTAGCACAGTTTGAGCCACACGGGATCAGTGAAAGTGTCCACATCAGGATTAGAGTAACAGGCAAAACACTGTGGATCAGATTGAGCCTCCAAATGAAACGGAGTTTTTACACAGCACGTGTATGTGGCCCACGTCTGGCACCGGTTCCTTGCTGTTTCATCTCATCTGGCCCAGGATGTGAGCCTTAAGAGGCACGTGTAAAATGGAAAAAGACGGCTCAAATAATTTCATGCAAATGGAGGCCTTTTCTGACCAGTGCGGTCGAAAGCAGCACACATTTAAGCCGCTTTAGGTTTTATATTTGGACTTCATTTAACCGCCACGTGGAAGCGCTGGCAACAAATGAAGGGACATCTGCCATTATTCCTCCATGGGCAGGGCAGGAAAATGACACAATCTTAAACAAATTATTTTTTTATTTGAATAACTAAAGCATATTATGACAAAAGTTTTCACGTGTCTTTAACAGTTTTGACAAGTTCTTTCATTATATCTTCATCAAAACCTGTTGCGTTAATCATTTCAACTTTAAGAAGAAACATCACATTTTTAACCATCCTGAAATGAAAACCAGTTGAATTATTGAACCCATTTAAACAACTGTTCTTCGACCGCCATCGGTTTTCTATTTCTTTTCCCCAAACTGAAAAAACAACAACTAGAAAGTACCTGGAATTCAGTCTTGAGGTGAGGCAGAGAAGCAGGACGTGATCAGATGCCAAAGACATCATCCAGGATACTGAAAAAGATGATGTTCTATGATCTGGAAAGATTGCCTGATGAAGTGTTGAGACTGAAATAGAGGATGTGCAGAGAGAAAAGATTTTGTTATTTGGATGGATAAAGACTGGTACCACTTTCTCGTAGTACGTTTCATCTTTTAACAAATGAATGTGAGTCATACGAGCTGAGCATCAGCCAAATATGAACCAGGTAGAAACCAGCGACATTTTCTAAACTGTGTGAAGGACTCACACATTCACAGTTAAGTTGAGAATGGTTATTTGTTTGTTGCATATAGCAGTTCACACAGATTTAAGTGTGTCTGTGTGTGCGTGGCAGATGTCGCAGATCCAGCTATTCAACAACAAGCAGCAACTGGAAGAAACCATTAAAGAAACCAGCCGACCTCTGCCAAGGCCACAGGTTCCCACAGTGTCACAACACTGCTACTGTATGAGAAGTGTTGAGGTTACACAGGGTTAAGAAGAATAATTAATAATGATTAAAAACCTGAATCCATAAACAGATCATAAATGCTGACAACAAACGTTAGCTGTGGATAAACAATGATAAATAAGTTAAAACAGAAAAATTATGATTTTTTTAAATTACACTGATTCACATGAAACATAATGCTCTGTTGTCAATGATTTATTTGTATTGTTATTGTTAAATTAAAATTAAATTATGATTAAAATGTGTTTTTCCACCTTGAAGATCACAAAATTAATTTAACCAGCTTTAAACTTTAAACTCTTAACTAATAAGCCGGTGGTAAACAAACACCAAGTGCACAATATGTCGTCACCACCACAGACAGAGTTTAGCTGTGGATTGATCAGGTTGATCTGCTGGTGGACTCAGACGCAGGACTCAACTGTTGGAGCACAAAAATTGTATTTATTTATAAAAACTCAAGTTTGTGCAAAGATAATTGTCAAAAGTCAAACTTGAGTCAGTGGTAAAAAAAAAAAACACAAAAAAACAAGAGGCCAAACCTGGAGGAAGATCGAGGAGACAAACTGGTCACTAATGAAAGAACGACAGACGGGGGAGGAGTGAGGGAGACACAGGTGAGGAAGTTCAGGTAATGAAGGGAAACTGCAGGAGAGAAGTGGAAAAAGTGAAGTGAAAACGAGACACAGGATTGGACAAGAGAGACAATGAGAAACAAATGAACAAAAACCTGTATAGAAAAAGAAAAAAAAATCTCTTTTTTTACCCAATAGACTCAGTGATGAGTCAAAACTGATTTGTCCTGTATCCCATTAAATATGTTAAACACTGATAATGTTACAGTCCAGTTTTGTGAATCCATTAATTGATAAGTGATATTTTTCAAAAGAGAGAAAAAAAACGATTCAGAGTCAGAAACTCCTCACTGATCATCAGAGAGAAAACTCATCTCTGTGTTTTTTTCTAGTTACATTGAAAAGCCCATGTGAAGTGCAATCATTTTCCAGGAGTCTGGAAATGTGAATACTTTCCATTCCTTGTCCGAGTTAGCAGCCTGTTCTGTTTGTCCAGGCACTGATAGTCATATGTCTTATCTTCCACCAGTGAGCCAATGGTGAAACACTAGGGAAAAAAAGTTATCGTTGAGCTCCTGTTTTATGTGCACATTTTTGCCAAACCCAGAGCACCTCCAGTGACGTGAGCCTCACCCACATCCAAAGTCTTAGTCGACAGGCAGGAGGCAGGAATGCAAATGCCACAGTGTGGTTAAATTCATTTAAAGGCCATAAATATTCCCACTGAGTAACTGTAATAAAAGTGTGGCATTATAGGAAAACATCCCATAGGAATACGTGTCAGGAATTGCCTTTATAAATATCTGATATCCACAAAACTATAATGAAAGTCCAGCAGAGTGTGGTGTGTTTACAATTAGCTAAAAAAGAGCAAAAATTGAATTAAAAAAGAGAGTACAAAGCAGGGAAAAATGCCAGTTATTAAGTAAAGAAAATAATAGTTGACTCCTTAGCTGACTGCAAACAAGATTACAGCAAAAACAGATTCATCACAAAAGAAACCCTCACATTATTTTGGTGTCACAGTGACATCTACATCCTGAAACAAACAAACCAAAACAGGTTTGTTTGTTTTCAGTTCCGATCATTTAAATATAATTTACATTCCAGTAAAATGGCCTACAGTTAAAATACAGGTCAATAAAATAACTCAGAAACTCAATTATCACATTTATGTTACAGAGGGAAAATTGCCCACATTTAAAAAACACTTTTTTTAAAACTTTTTTTCCACGGTGTTTTGACGTCAAAGGACCTTGAAAAATGTAGATAAGAGGTTTTAAATCCCCGTGGATGTAGAGAATCCATACAGTTGCTGATCAAACCAACTGAAGGCATGGAGCTCTTTGTTCTCCTGGCACTCATCACAGGGTCAGGTATGGATTCATAAAACTGTAGAACAACTAGTGCCTGTTTAGTGAAAATGTCATTTTGTTTGTTTTCTGTCAACAGTTGCCCTGGAGGGAGATGACAAAATTGTGGGCGGGTACGAGTGCAGGAAAAACTCCGTTCCCTACCAGGTGTCGCTCTTCACTGGGTACAACTATTGCGGTGGGACCCTTTTGTCTGACAAGTGGGTTCTCTCCGCCGCACACTGCACATCAAAGTAAGCGTCTCCGTTGGACTGCAGGCCAACCGAACGAACCTCCGTCTGCTTGATGCTGACTGCTCTGCAGATACTCTGGCCGTATTTCAATATTTGTGATCGCCTGACAGGAAGAATGCCTGACTTTGTTTTCCCACAGGTCAAATGTAGAACTGCGTCTCGGGGAACATGACATCTGGGAGCCTGAAGGAACCGAACAGCACATCATGTCTGCTGAATTTATTCGGCATCCCAACTACAATCCCCGCTCACTGGACAATGACATCATGCTCATCAAACTGAGTCAACCTGCCAAACTCAACAGCTACGTGCAGCCGGCCACTCTCCCTTCAGAGTGTGCCACCGAGGGGACGATGTGCAAGATCTCTGGGTGGGGGAGTCTCCGTCCCAGTGACGAGGGCTGTGAGTTAGAAACCGAGTCTCTGTCACCAAACGGTTTCCACTGCCATGACACACACTCACAAGTTTGACCTACATACACTGTTTTTGTGCATTTCCAGCAAGGTACCCTTCAAAGTTACAGTGTCTGGACGCCCCACTGCTGAGTGACGACACCTGCTTCAATTCATACCCTTTCCAAATCACTGACAACATGATCTGTGCTGGATATTTGGAGGGAGAAAAGGACTCTTGTCAGGTAATCCAGACAGAGAGAAGGTTCTCTAAAAGCTGCATCGTTGAAGTCCATTTATGTTTTCGATCCCCCACAGCCCCCAAAAACTCCACGGTAATTACAACAAAACTGTTGTTCCTATTCTCCAAAACAAAAGAATATCAGTATCGTATCAGTGCTTTTAATAACGAAAAGTATTTTGTGTCCCCCCATAATAGTACCACACACCCTAGTTGGGGGGGCTGCCCCTCACTTTGGGAACCAAAGTTCAATTTGGCATTAATAACCTTCAGAGCGTATGTTTCAAAACTCCACTGAACTTTTCCTAAATTAATGTCATTACTACGAGATACTGTCATTTCAAATTGTTTGCCCTGCCGTTTTCAACTGCACATCCTGTGGGGGAACCCCTACTTTGAGAACCACTGGCTTAGCTCAACATTACAAAATGCATTTGCCTTCTTGGATTTCACAGTTGTGATGAGAAAATGTTTCATGATTATTATCCATCCATCCATCCATCCATTTTCATCCGCTTATCCGTTACCGGGTCGCGGGGACAGTAGTCGCCACCCAAATCACATTGCACCGTACCAACCCCCCAAACCTTCCTGAGGGTGGTGAGTCCACTGGAAGGTACCAACCGCCCTAACCGGGATTCGAACTTGTCCAGGAGGTGAACCCTGGGGTTCCACACCAATGACAGAGACATTGCCTCTGGGCCAAAGCGCCACTCACGATTATTACTGAAAACCAAAATAAGTCGCACAGTGATCACACAGCATCAGTGAAGGTACACGCCCCTCTCTTTTACCCTCAGGGTGACTCCGGTGGTCCTATGGTGTGTGGTGGAGAGCTCCAGGGAGTCGTGTCTTGGGGACAAGGCTGCGCTCTGAGAAACAAGCCTGGGGTCTACGCCAAGGTCTGCAACTACACCTCATGGATCAAGAACACAATGGCATCTGGATGAGCAGTAAAGACGTGAACAGAGCCGCGTTCAGTAAAGTACTTTTCAAGATGACTTTTGTGCACCGTGTGGTTTTTGATTTTTGCATCCACTGAACTTTCACTGGTTACATTTATGGGAAAGAAAAAACAAACATAAACATAGATCTGGATCAGTGGACAGAGCATGTTGTCAGGGTCTGATTCCTGGCTCCTCTGGTTTGCTCCTACTGTTGTGTCAGCAGCGTGAGTGGGCGACAGATGTGTGACAGAAAAAGTGTTGCATAAAAATGATCCATATGCACGTGAGGGAAAATAGCTGTAAATAAATGAGGGCAGAACAGGGAAAGTTCATTATATTTAACCCCTTCAGTGACCGACGCTCTGAAACAGTGAAAGTGCCGACACATCGCTGGAGGACGCCTCAGGAGAACACACACCATTTGAGGAACAAATGTGATATTTACAGTCTGCCACAATAAATCACCGCAGCGGAAAAATGTCGCTACGCTGCTCCCTGTGGCTTGAAATTGTAAAGCATGTTGCACACTCTGGCCACACTCCATAATCAGTGAGTATAGAGCACTCAGGGAACTGTGGCTTTTCACCACTTTACTATCTGGTAAGAGATTTTTTTTTTTGGTCAAGATCCTTAAAGTTATACAAGGAGAAGTCCAGAAATTCTAACGTGAAAACAGTTATTTTTTTTAATGATCTTTGCTCCACTTTAACAATCATTCATTTTTGAAAAAATAAAAAATCAGATAATAATTTTTTTTTTTACCTTTATGAAAAGTCTTGGTCCAGTTTGTGCTTCAGGCCAAACCAACCATGTAGTGTATGTTTGAACATTGCACCTTTTAGGAAGCACTTGATGAACGTCTGCTTCGGACGTCAAATGCAGCAGGTGCACATACGCAAACAATCCATCGCAAAATCCCAGAATGATTTAAGTGGGTTTTGGTTGCCTGGGTGTGTCGGAGAGAGGAAGACTGAGTCACCAGGCATTTGCTTGACCACCAAATAAAGACTGGGATCCAACCAGAGGCTCTGAGGTCTCATGGCCTGTGTATAAAAAATAAATGACTTTTATTTCTATGGGGCGAAACACAGGCCTGGACAGGAGCAAAAGACTTTTCATATTCTGCAGTGACCTTGACAGCACATGTACTTGATGTGGCCTCAGATTCATGCAGCGTAACAGTCAAATACTGCAGTCTCTAAGTCAGAGGGAACCAGCAGTTCAAGGGGAACGTTGTACTGATACATGGAGGGAATAAATAACAAACATCAGCCTTCAAACCGACAAGCTACACACCGACTGGGCAATTTTGTTCAACAAACCTAGTCTACTGTGAAACACCATGGTGAAAAAGATGCTACAACATCTAAAAATGAAACAAGAACTGAAATCTATCAAGGTCAAGGTCATTCTGATCTGTTCTAACCATCAGGACTTGATCCCAGTCCTTAAACACACCACAGTTTAAAAAACTTCAGTGCCATTCATCCATCCATCGTCCACTTATCTGTTACCAGGTGGCGGGAGCAGCAGTCTCCACGGCTGCCACCAAACCACACTGCACCGTACCAGCCCCTCATGAAACCCTCCTGAGGGTGGTGAGTCCACTGGAAGGTACCAACCGCCCTAACTGGGATTTGATCTTTCCCAGGAGGTGAACCCTGGGGTTCCACAGAGACATGGCCTCTGGACCAAAGCACCACGACCCTTCACTGTGTCACAGGAATTGTCACCAAACTGTTGAGCTCCACATAACTCCCTGAAGGGGAAGAATTGTGAAAAAAAGGAAAATAAAAGGAAGGAAGGAAGGAAGGAAAAAGGGAAGGACAGAAGTTAGAAAAGGGAAGCAACGAAGAAAGGAAAAGCTAAAGAAGGAAGGAAAGAATAAAGAACATACAACAATATACAACCTTCCTTTAGAAAGTTCTAGAACAGTAGAGTCCAGTGATCAGCAGTTCAGGGACAGAATGTTGCAACTCGAAACAATGATGGTGATTTTAATTCTTTTATCAAGGACATTTTTGTTATTGTTTTTTTTTAATTTGTACAAACTAAAACTCTCAGTGACAACACTGCTCTCCATCACAGCTAATGCTAACACTGAAGGTCTGGAGAACCTCACAGACTACAACATACAACATGGAGTCCGGACACTTCACCGCCCCCTCAACCACCTGGACCCCGGCCCAGTCAGTCTCCTGACGTGACGTCATGTCATGGCTGGTTTCTGCTTGGATCTGACTTGAATGGTTTTGACGGCTCAGACCAGCTTCTGTGGGACAGGGTGTGGACCGTCATGGACACATCGCCCTGTGAAGGGTTTAGTCAGGAGAGCTGGCGGGAACTCATGTGAGGCAGATCTGAAATGACTATTCACTGCACAGTGTCACACACACATGTGCACACTCACACACACCCACGTACTTTTATGGTACCACTTTGGTGGACTAACTTATTTCCATGTGTGAAGCCCAACAAGAACGTAGTCCTCTTCTCCAACTCGACCGCCTAACCCTAACTGTTGACCCAACTACAAATCACATGTTTATCTTTAAACTCAATCACAAAATTTCACACCCAACATTCTTAGTCTGCCAGAGCCCAACTCTGGAGTGTTTGTCCCCGCCTTACAATTTAGTTCGGATGGTATGAAAGCTGGGACGTATTGAGAGAAACCGTCTTCAGTCCCTGCTCCCAAGTCAGCCCTGTCAACATCTCTTTAGCCAGCAGAGGGTGCTATAAAACAGTTATAGGGGACCGGTCAAAAACACCTGCAGAACCACCCTTATCACTTGGGGAAAACAGGAAAAGAAGAAAACACAGAGAAAAAAAACAACAGAAAAAAAGTAACGAAACTGCCAATGAACAAAATACTGTATTATTTTTGTGACCCGGTAAATGACTGACTGTTATCGTTTTACGTCGAATTGTTGTTTTCTTTCAGGAAACTAAGCTAAGATCATATTATCATTAAGAACAGAACAATTCAGGTAAAATTAGAAAAACTAATTTAGAAAACTGAGTGGCGGGAAAAGATCCGAAACAATAAATAAAAGTCAAAACACAAATTATACTCTGTGTATTTATAGATAGTGTCCAGCAGAGGGCAACATCTAGCAAATTGTGGAAAAGCTTAATAACACCTGGGATTTCCTAGGGTTTTATTCGTTATTGATCTTAGAATGAAATCGGTTTAACGGCGTTTCCAGAAAAAAAAAAACAATCAATCTGACACTTCCTGTGTTTAAATTGTTACATGCAATCGTTTATAAATGCGAGACATTTAAGCTAATTAGAAACAGTGTGTTAAAAGAAAAAGAAAAAAAGAAAAAAGAAAGGAAATCCTAATTGACGCAAAACGACGGACAAGCTATTGTCCAAAACATCACAAAAAAAACAAAAACCCAAACAAAAACAAAACAAAAGAAAAGTCACAGCCATTTGTCAACATAAAGCTGTTTCCATTTAACAGAAAACTGTGTGGTAACAACACTTCATCTCCATTTCCATGGTAAAGATGAAAACAAAGCGTCCAGTGGTGTGGGCCCGGTAATGTTCTCAGCAGGCGGGCGGAACCAGCGCCTCCTCCTGACGCACGGCTGAGTCAGCGGAGGCGCGCGTAAACCGATGGTGGTCGTGGCCAAGACATAAAAAGAGCGAACATGGTTCCATCACATCTGCACCGACACCGGCTGGATGCTTGGAACATTGACGGCCAGGAGACACTGACCACAGGTATGGGTGAAAATGTTTCATATCAGTTATTATTATTATTTTGTATTGATTATTATATATTGATTTATATATAACGCATCGATATATAAATACATTCGTAAATATATCTTCTTTTTTGCATATATAATGTGCTACATTAACATACACGTATATACACACAAATAAATATATTATTGTATGTTTATGTATTAATATGGAGTGTACATCACGTTTTGTGAAAACCATAAACATTTACATAACCTGGATGAAATTGTATTAGTTGCACTTTTGTCATTTTTTCATTAAATTCATTGGTATTTATATAATAAATATATATAATTGTTATTAAATGCCTTTTAGATTTAATGTGACAAAGCATGCTGTTTGTTTTAATCACACTTTAATCTACATTTCTAAAACATATCGGGGACTGAACTCTTACTGTCCTGTTTCTGTTTGTTGGACAACACCCACAGTTTTTAACAAACCACACGAGTGCTTGTTAATATTGGGTTTTTTTTTCTTTTCTACCTGCCATATTTAATTTTTTTTTTTTAATTTGTCCCTCAGTCTGAGAAACACAATGAAGCTGAAGCCTTTACTGAAGAAGCTGGCCTCGGCCACCCGTGCTATCTTCACCTTCCTGTTTGCTCTCGTGGTCCTGGGTGTGATGGTTTGGGCCTACATTGATGGTTTCCAGTTGGCGACCTCGCCGTATGGAATCATCTCCTTTGGCTTCTATGGACTTCTTCTTTCTCTGCATGTGTTAATCCAGAGCCTGTTTGCCTTCATCGAACACCGACGGATGAACGCCCGTAAAAAGCCGTGCTCTTTCACTAAAACCATCGGCTTCACGATATCGGCCTACCAGGAGGACCCTGAATATCTGAGGGAGTGCCTCAACTCCATCAGGGCGCTCAAGTACCCGCCGGAGCTGCTGCGCATCATCATGGTGGTGGATGGGAACACAGACGATGATCTGTACATGATGGAGATGTTCAGGGAGGTGTTCACAGACCAGGACCCAGGCTGCTACGTATGGAAGAACAACTACCACTCGTGGAATCCCATGCAGGATGTGGAGAAGGCCACAGCTGACGGTCCACTAGTAGAAGGTGGTGACTGTGTTATAGAAGAAGATCCTCAGATGAAAGAGGTGGAGCATCTGATCCAAACCAAGAGATGTGTGTGCATCATGCAGAAATGGGGCGGGAAGAGGGAAGTGATGTACACAGCATTCAAAGCTCTGGGATCGTCAGTCGACTACATTCAGGTATCAACTGTAATTCACTTCTCTGCAAATACTCCCAAAGTAGCCGAAGGTGGAATCATTCATGTTGGGTGATCGTCGCACATCTATGTGACCTGAATCTGTTTCGTGCCTTCATTTCCAGGTGTGCGACTCGGACACCAAGCTGGACTCCTTGGCCACGGTGGAGCTGTGCAAGGTGCTGGAGAGCAACACCAAGTACGGTGCCGTGGGCGGAGACGTGATGATCCTCAACATGCAGGATTCCTACATCAGCTTCATGAGCAGTCTGAGATACTGGATGGCCTTCAACATCGAGAGGTCCTGTCAGTCCTTCTTCAACTGTGTCTCCTGCATCAGCGGCCCTCTGGGTAACACACATTTTGTTACTGTCACTAAGCAAGTTAAAGATGCCACTCCTGTCAGGGCTCGGATTTTTATTTGTGCTCTTGTTTTTTTTTTACCATAAAGGTCTGTACAGGAACGACATTCTCCAGCAGTTTCTGGAGTCTTGGTACAATCAGAAGTTTCTAGGAACTCACTGCACGTTCGGTGATGACAGACATCTCACCAACAGGATGCTGAGCATGGGATATGCCACGAAGTAAGAACTCCTCCGACAAAACATACAAATACACAACTGAATTGAATTTTTGTTGTGACACAGATATGTACGAGACAAAACAAAGAATTTAGTTATTTTTGAGCGTGGCAATTGTATCAAAGAGAGCCCTCATGTGGTCACTGGAATTTTTTCGCGACCTATTTTGAACTGGGCCAGATGGAAATTCTGCTCAAATAGAGCAAGTGGCCCACATCTGCATGCCGTACGGGCAGTTAAAGCTAGACAACAAGACAACAAAGTCATTTATAGATCTTTGTTATTCATTGTGTTTTTTTTCCCCAGATACACAGCTCGCTCCAAATGCTACACAGAGACACCTGCACAGTTCCTGCGCTGGCTCAACCAACAGACACGTTGGACCAAGTCCTACTTTCGTGAGTGGCTGTACAACGCCATGTGGTGGCACAAGCACCACCTGTGGATGACCTACGAGTCCATCGTCTCAGGTATCTTCCCCTTCTTTGTCACTGCCACCATCATCCAACTGTTCTGGACCGGCTCTCTGTGGGACATCCTGTGGGTCCTGTGCTGCATCCAGCTGATTGGGCTGGTGAAGGCAGCGTACGCCTGCATTCTGCGCAGAGACGTCGTGATGGTGTTCATGTCGCTCTACTCGGCTCTGTACATGACCAGCCTGCTGCCGGCCAAATACTTTGCCATAATAACCATGAACAAAAGCAGCTGGGGGACGTCAGGCAGGAAGAAGATCGTGGGGAACTACATGCCCCTGCTCCCCCTGTCAGTGTGGGCGGCCATTTTATTGGGAGGACTCGTTTACACAATCTACAAGGAAAGTCAGCTGGACTGGTTAACCCCCGCGAAGCTGGAGGAAACAAAGTTTCTGGTTTTTGGACTGGTGGCCTACATCTGCTACTGGCTGTTCATGGTGTTCCTCTACTGGGTGTGGTTCCGCAGGTTATGTAGAAAACGTTCACAAACCTACTCAGTGACTGTCTAGATCAGGGTTGTCAAACATATGGCCCGTGGGCCAAAACTGGGCCACTAGGGGGTTCAATCAAGGCCTCGCCTGACAAAATGCACAAACACGTCACGTTGGTGATGTTTTGTCAAATTATTTACCATAAACTACTACTTATTTCCAGAAAAACAAAGGAAAACATGGACTTACTGTTATTTATAAGTAATTATGTTATGATTGTATTGGTCCGGCCCTGTTGACATCTACTCAGGCTGTATGTGGCCGCTGAACCAAAATGAGTTTGACACGTGTGGTCTACATCAATCATGTCAAGCACAAAAAAAGGGAAAGA